AATGATCTTTATTCAGAAATCGGAAAGGATAAAGTTGCTGAAGAAAGCTTGTGAAGCACACGTGAACAAGAATAAAGATTGCATGATTGGAAAGGGGATTGATAGGTTTGGAAGAGAATCGTAAACAAATCTCTTTTCATCTCTCTATTCAGACATTTCTTTGTCCTTTACGTTCTCTCAAAGGGTTTCGGCATCTCATCACCATTTTTGGAAACGATTTTCTCACAGAAATGGTTCCTCTCGACAAGTCATGTAAGAACTTTTTTAAAATTTGAAATTCTAAACAAACAAACAAACAAACAAACAAACAAACAAACAAACAAACAAACAAACAAACAAACAAACAAACAAACAAACAAACAAACAAACAAACAAACAAACAAACAAACAAACAAACAAACAAACAAACAACTCTCAGGTACCAAATGTGACTGGTCAAATTGATGAGGACAAAGATATCGACTTCTCGTGGATTGGTGCTTGCTTTGGTGCGGTGACAAAAGATGGGTAAGTGTAAGAAGAGTTGTAAAGAATTGAATGATGAATTGAATGAGTGTTGCAGATATGGGATTTGTTATCGTTTCGCTGGGAATCATTCAATTTGCGCTCACATCTCCAGCTATCATAGCGCTGAGAATACGGTACGTTTAATGAGGTTTTTTTTAAAACGCAAACTCTAGTGAGTTTCACAACAACTCAAATCTACAGCTCTTCAGCTATTATCTCAAAAATGTTTTCAGGACTCTCACCGTTTCCAACGCGAGTTCATCAAGGCGCTTAACGAGATGGCTGAAATGTTTGAATGATTGTAGGAGTTATGAAAATGAGAACGTAATTTGAATCATCATAGAGTTGTGAAAATGAGAATGAGATTTGAATTTAATATTTGAATTTCACATTTATATTACCCAGCTTTCTGTACATTAACTAATTAAACGTTTTTTCATTTTTTTTTTCATCATTTTGGTTAGGGTTTTTATTTTGGGTTTAACAAAGTTATTTGTTTGAGTTTACTATATATTTTTTTTGTTAACAAAGCCCTTCCTCATGTATACATTTAATAATAAAACACATTTGACGTAATATTTGAGATTTAAAAAGAAATTACAATGAGAAAAGAAAATGTAGATGTTTTGAGAGCATATAAAGCACAGCCAAATCAACTTTTTACTCAAAACAAACCCTTTTGTACGATCAGAAACTGTGCCCCAGAGTTTCATAAAGTTTAATAGTTCGAGAAACGAGACTTCTGGGGACATTCAAGCGCTTTGTGATCGCTTTGAGCTCGCCTGAACACGCTGGTAATTCTTGGCCACCCCGTATAGCTGATACGAATTTAAAAGCAGATTGAACGATCGCGCACTTTCTTGACATTAGCCGGAGTAGCCGCTGTTCGTTACCTCTTCCAGGGCGATCAGAAACTGAGTTTCATAACGTTTAATGGTTCGAGAGACGAGTCTCCTGGGGACATTCAAGCGCTTTGTGATCTCGCTCGCGTGAACACACTGCCGCTTGAGCTCAATGATCGATTGTCGATGTGGAGACGCTTTCACCATTCCTGAAAACAACCATACTAATGTATTAAAAGTAATATATTGAAAGTTAGTAATCATACAATAAAATAAGAAAAATACAAAAAAATCATAAAAACAGGTAAGCAAAAAGTGAAATGGGGCTCATCAAATAATACGACGTTGTTGCAGTAATTCTTGATAGTACATTGTAGTACACCCTGTAGCTAGTTCTTGGTGGTACACTCTGCAGTACATTAAAGTCTGAAAAAAGAATCTAAGTGCATTAGAAATGAGTTTCGATTGCTTTTTGAAGTAAAAATTTCATTCAATAACATCAAATAATACCCGAGGGACTTTTTGGGGGAAACTCGTAAACCGAAAAAAATGTCTCCAACGAATGATGTGTTTCTTTTATTTCAAGAGTTTTATTTATCTTCTTCTATATATTTTTTTGATTATAGCAAAAGATTGATTGAGTTCTGTTTAAATCTATATAATTTTTGAGCTAACTTGTGATCGAATCTTGATTCCACATCCGATTTCACACCCCCGTACCCTCATTGACTTTTATTCGCAAATGTCTATTGTCTCATCTCGAAATTTTTGATTCAATTCGGAGAAGAAAACTCTTCTGCTGCTTGTCTGCTTTCAATTTTTCACTTTTTCACTTTTTCACTTTTTCACTTTTTCACTAAAGTTTTCTACATATTATAAACTAATATAACCTTTTTATTCTTTACCAAAAATCGTAAACTCTAATGAATGAAAGTTTCTTCTCTATAATGTTGCTTGTCAAGTTCAGTGTTTGTCAGTGCTTCAGTGCTTAAGTTCAGTGCTTTTCAAGTTCATTGCTTGTCAAATCTGCTTGATACTGTTCAAAATATAAACCCAATTCTTTTGTTCTAATAAATCTTTAGCTTTCTTTGTGAAATGAAATCATTTTCTTGGGTTGAATTAAGTGATCAGAGATGAAAAAGCAGAAAAAGGAGATAAAAGAACTTTTGAATTCGAATGGAGTAATATTCGAATCAATTTTAGTATTATGCTTTTATTCTTGGTTTTGTTTTCTCATCGATGGTCATTTATTATCGTTTTTGGGGAGAAGGGGGGAGGGGTTTGGGTGAAGTGGAGAATGGCTGAAAAGGAATTCAAAAAGAATTTAAAATTATGAATGCCACGTAGTTTTGCTTAGAAAGATTTCCTTCAAATTTCGCTAGAGAGAAGAGCTAGAGAGCTTGTTCTATAGAGAGCTAGAGAGCTTGTTCTATAGAGAGCTAGAGAGCTTGTTCTATAGAGAGCTAGAGAGCTTGTTCTATTGCAAGTTTTTGTTTACATACTTAATTCTTTTCAATTCTTTTCAAATTCTAGTAGATCTTTTGAACTTTCTACATGCTAAATTCTGTAATTAAATCAGAAATTTTAATCTTAGAAACGAAAAGAAAAGAGATTTTTTGTCGATTGATCTTTTTGTTGTTGATTGATCATCTTAAAAGATGTTGTTTATATTGTACAATGTCGAGTTGATGACCATTTTACAGTTCCCAAGCTTTCCCAGAAGTCCAACACTCAAATCCCCCACTAGATCTCATCGTCAGCTACATTTGCCGACTCCACATCAATAGGTTTTGATAAGTGGTTCTCGAGATTTCGAGGAATTTAGGCGAAGCTTTGGGTACACTACTATTAGAGAGAAGACGATATATTATTCCAGGTTAGACTAGTAGATCAGACTGATCTATTTCCCTAATATTTCCCGATGAGCGGAGTTGATGACCATTTTACAGTTCCCAAGCTTCCCCAGAAGTCCAACACTCAAATCCCCCACTAGATCTCATCGTCAGCTACATTTCCAATCCCACATCGATAGATTCTGGTAAGCGGTTCTCGAGATTTCGAGGAATTTAGACAACGCTTACTACTATTAGAGAAATGCCATAGTTTTGGTCATTTTCGATCTTATTCAAAGAAAAAGATAGATGAGAGAAAAGTTGAAAAAGCTGAACAAGGGACTTAAAAAGAACAAGATCGAGCAATTACCTCTTTTCACTTTTCACTTTTCACCTTTTATCCCGTCACATTTCTTAGACTATTTATGTACACATAGAAAGTCTTTCTTCACGCAAAACACATTCACGCAAAACCCGACCACAAAGCTCTTTCAACAAAATAATCACCCTAAAGCTTTTACGAAATTTCACTTTTTTTTTCTTCTTTCCAAATAATGACAAAAATTTCCATTTTTTAAAAAAGTATTTTAATAATGATTCTTTAAGATTAATTATTACAATAGATAGAATATTTCTAAACTAGAATCCTCTAGAATAACTATTTTCAAACTATTTCAAACTATTTTCAGCTAAACTTTCAGCTTAAAACAAGACTAAACTTTTCAATTAAGGTTTTAAAAAAAGAAACGAATGGAAAAGGAAAGGCTAATCTTAAGCCCAACGACTCAGCGTTCATGCAATTTCTTTTTGTTCGAAACTTTGTTCGAAACCCAAATGTTTTAAGATTCTAAAAGAAAAGTTGAAGTCTATTTTTTAGATGATTTTCAATGTTTTTAAATGTTTAAATGAAATCATTAAATCTTTAAATCTTTAAATCATTAAACGTTTAAATGTTTAAACTTTAAATCAAATCTCGATGCTCTAACACCTTTTCTTTTCTATCTAACACCTTAGGGAGACTTAAATGTCTTAAATGTCTTAAATGTCTTAAATGTTTTAAATGTTTTAAATGTTTAAATCATTAAATCTTTAAATCATTAAATCTTTAAATCATTAAATCATTAAATGTTTAAACTTTAAATCAAATCTCTCAGATCTAACACCTTTTCTTTGAGCCTTTTTCTCTTCAAATCACTTTCGAAAAAGTGTCAATCATCATAGATCTTTTTCCCCCAAAAAATCATTTCAAATGAGAGACCTTAAATTTGCTCTTTTCAAAAATGATGTCCAAAAAGTGAAAGAGAAAAATGAAAAAGAAAAGAAAAGAAAAGAAAGAAAAGAAAGACAATCGATTCTTTTATGTTTACACTGTCTAACTTTTGATCAAATCTTCTTTAAGCTTTGTTTAAATTCAAATCTTTTTTTTCTTTCTTTTTTTCCAATTTATCTCAAAAATCTTAAATCTTAAAACAAATCCTTTCAAACAAATCAACAAACAAACCTCTAAAAACAGAGAAATTCAAAAATTTCTTTATTTTTACGATTTTTACAATGTTTTTATGCTATTTTCCCAATTTTTCTGATCATTTCACCAACCAAAAAACTTCTTTTACAAGCTTTTACAAGCCACTATCGTTTAAGCAATGACCGGAGGCGTCAGTTGATGTTGTTGAGCTGGAAAATTGCGATTAGTGATTATTTGAATGCTTTACAAGTGATAGTCGATCCGGAAGTTGGTTTACTGATTGGTGTCACATCCAGAACGTCGATTTAAGGTGTGAGATCACAAAAAAAAAAGCCATAATTTTATTCTGCAGAAATGCTCCAATCAGCTCGTCTCTCGATGGCGGCCGCATCAGGGAAACCCTTTCGACCACTCGGCGCCTACATTCCACAAAATCAGTGAGACATTCTTTGAAAGTAAAGAAAGCAAGTTGGTGTCAGTAATTTCTTGTAAGTATTCAATAATGAATGACAAATGAATGATAAATGAATGATAAATGAATAACAAATGAAATGAGGTTTATGAGCAGGCCCTCGACTTCTCGCTCCAGAGACAAGCCTCCTCCAGTGCCCATCCATCGGGCTCCATCAGGTGAGGGGGATTTTCGATTTCGGAAATAAAATCAAACACCTTTCCAGTGTACTCCATTCGAAATCCATCGCTTCACACGGCTCGTAGTCATCGCAGCACTGGACGGAGTTCCGTCCAGAAAGAGTTGGTTTAAAAAAAATCAATGGAAATTTCAAAAATTCCCTTTAAAAACCTATGAAACTATAGGTTTTTAGTGAAAGATTGTTGAAAATTTCGAAAAAAAAACAATTGAAAACTGTTGATAAATGAAAAATTTGAAAGAATTTGAGAAAATGGATTTACAATGAAAAAAAAATGCCAAAAAAAACTGATTATCTTCTGTTTCTTTTGTGTCATTTGCAGAAAATTGCTTAAGAAATGGCAATCTGTCATCTCCAGAAATAATATTCTATTTTTGAGACAATATTCAAGATTCAATTCCTTAAAAAAGCTTTCCAAAAAAAGCGCTATCAAGACTCGAACCCCCGATCTTCCGCTTAGCAACCCACTGTGTTAACCATTACACCACAACGGCGTCGATCTCCCTCACCCCGGAGTGTTAAGTATTCCTCAATTGATTCAGTTTCTATTTATTTTTGTTTTTTTATCTCACTTTTACAATTGTAAAAGAGTTAGCCATAGTTCTTTAAAGCGAATTGGGGAAGAATGAACATTATCCAATGAATTTAACTTATCCAATGAACCTATCCAATGAACTTATCCAATAAACTTATCCAATAAACTTATCCAACAAACTTCTCCAATAAACTTCTCCAATAAACTTATCCAATAAACTTATCCAATAAACTTATCCAATAAACTTATCCAATGAACCTATCCAATGAACTTATCCAATAAACTTATCCAATAAACTTATCCAATAAACTTATCCAATAAACTTATCCTAAATACATAATTGTATTCAAATCAAATTCTTGCTAGTGTGCCTGTTATTGATCTCTTTTAACCTCAAGCACTTAAGAATTCTTTCTTCAAAAACACTCGACTTTTGGGGGTAAACTCTAATCCTCAGCAAAATAATGACCCTTCCGTTTTTTTTTGCGGCTTTTCTTTATGTTTTGGGTTTGAAAGTCAACTTTTTTTGTTTGAATTTTAGCTGAAAATTTTGCGTTTAGCTAGGGATGATCATGATTTTTGGATGATTTTATGAGAATATTTGATATTTGATTTCTAAAATGTATGGCTATACGGCACGCGGTCGATCGTTTGTCGCCTTGAACAGGTCAGTCTTTATTTTGAGTTTCTTTCGATTCTTGTACTTTTTAAAGGAATGCTGTATTGAGGCTTTGAAAATAGTTAGAATGGCTTGAGATTTGATTAGAATTTGATTAGAATTTGATTAGAATTCGATTTGAGATTCGATGTCAATTCGATTTCAATTCGATTTCAATTCGATGTCAATTCGATTTCAATTCGATTTCAATTCGATATCAATTCGATGTCAATTCGATTTCAATTCGATCACTCTTTACCATTGTTTATGCGTCTGATTATGGGGATTTCAACGCTTGCTTGGGGAGATTTCAATTGAATACTTGCTTACCAAATTGTTGTGTTCATTGTTTTACCCGTGTGCAATAGCAGATCATTTCAACAGCCTATCGATCTTTGTTGAGATGCTTTGGCGCAACTTTTTACTTCCAAGCCGACTGCTTGAACTGAATAGTCTTAGATTTTAAAATTCGGAATTTTGATGTCTATTTGATCATCATCTACGAGGCTTTTTCTTGTTTTCGCTTCAAGTCAGGCTTGTTCTAGAAAGCCTTCTAGAACAAGCGTTCTAGAAAGCCAAGGTTTAACCCGATTTTCTTGGTTTTTGGCTTAATTTAGCGTGTCTATAGAGTAATTGAATGTCTGAAATGGATGGTTGATATCGATGTTGAATGGCTTGATTTGTTGCTGAAAGATTGTCAAAAGTTTCTAGACTTTTCCTCGATTTTCACGGTGTTTCGGTGAATTCGGAAGAGGCACAAGAAGCGGAAAGGAAAGAGCTTGTTCAGAAGGGGAGAAGAGGGAAAGAAGTCGAGAAAGATGATGATGAAGATCAAGGAGAAAAGGATCGGTTTGTCAAGGGGAAGATAATTCAATAGATAAAGGCATAAATATCTATAGGCTTTATAAAAGGTGAGAGAATTTGGGGGGAGGGAAGGGAAGCAATTAGCGTCTATTCGGAAACAAGGACCCAGTGAGAAAGGCTGATTTCAGCTAAACAATTTTTTTTGTGCCTTTTCATTCTTTTAAAGCTTTACATAGATTTTTAATAAAATCTGTTTTATATAATCTTTTTATTATATAATGTTTTTGATCTGTAAACAAGTAAAGGAAGGCTTAGTCTTCTTTGCTTGTTTTTGCTTTATCTTTACTTTATCTTTGCTTATTGGAGCCGTATTAGATCTAAAAAGAATCGTATTGGAACCGTATTGGAACCTTATTGGGACCGTATTGTACTTTATCATTACTTTATCTTTACTTTATCTTTACTTTATCTTTACTTTACCTTTACTTTATCTTTACTTTATCTTTACTTTATCTTTACTTTATCTTTACTTTATCTTTGCTTTGCTTGTTCTTAAACTTTCCAGCTAATCCAATTAACCTAGTTTCTAATTTTCTTAAAAAACTTTGAGTTTAAAGTTCAGAAGTTGTATATCGATTGGTGATTGGTGAGAAAGTCGTTTTAAAATTTAAAAAAGAAATACGTGACTTTGAAATAAAAAGAAATTAGAAAAATAGAAGAAGAAGAAGAAGAAAAGTTTCGATTCTTTTCCCACGTAGTCTTTCTTCGATTTCAATCAAAGGTTGGGTCTAATTTCGGCAAGAAAATTGAACAAATTCATTTGAAAAGAGAAAAGAGAAAAGAGGAAAGTCAAACTAAAGAAAAAAAAAGTGATATGGAGATATAGAGAATGGATGAAATTGAATATCTTTCCTCCTTTTCCCTTTTCCCCATCTGACATCAGGTGGCTCTTCTTGGTGACTTCTTTTCGTTGTCAAGTTATAATCTAATTTACACACACACACACACACACATATATCCTTCTTCTTTTCTTCTTCAATAGTGATGTACTTGAAGATTTCAGAGATTTTTAGAGATTCTTCGAGTTTTTGTTTTTGTTTTTTTGTTTTCTCTATTCAGATTCAAATTTTCAGCTTCCTTGTGATATCCCTTTTTTTTCAAATTTTCTTGATATTTATGAAAGCAAATGGCTAATATTTCTCGTGATTAAACTCAAGCTTCAAACTAAACTACAACAGAAAGATTTGTGATAGTTCTAGAAATCTAGAAATCTAGAAATCTAGAAATCTAGAAATCTAGAAATCCAGAAATCTAGAAATCTAGAAATCTAGCTATTCCATAATTCCATAATTCCATAATTTCAAAATTCCATCTCAACCCTCAAAAACCAACGCCGAAAATAGTCAAAATCGTCGAATTTTCTCAAGTTTTGCAATCTTTTCATTATTTTCTTAGTATTTTTTATTTTTGGAAAACGGCTTCGTTTATTCGATTCGATCGGTGAGAAAAGAAAAGGGTAAAGAGCGAATTTGCGGTAAAAAGTCGGGTGTTTTTGGGCAAAAAAGGATTGTCGACAGCTGTAACTAATAAAAGGTTATATCCCAAAAATTCTCTGTAAACGATTTTCTTATGAAAGCTATTGAGTATTTTGGGCCACACTCACGAATTTTGACTTTAACAGCCGCTTTATGGGATCATCATTCATCCAATTCGTCGACAAAAAGCCCAAGGTTAAAGAAAATTTCTTTTTATAGCTTAAAAGAGATAGCTAGATGCAGGCTAATTAACCCCCTCGGAAGCAGGGGAGACAGGTCCGTTGTGGTGTAGTGATTAGCACGATGGCCTGGGAAGTCGAGGGTCGCTGGTTCGAGTCCTGGTGGAGGGCTTGTTGATCTTCCTCTTTTTATTTTTTTTTTCGCGAATTTTGACTTTAACGCCGCTTTTTGGGTCATTATCGGGTCACACCCACCAAAATCCAAAACCCAGGCCAGCATATAAGAAATTTTCTTTTAAGCCTAAAAAAAAAAGCTAGAAAAAGGCTAGTTAACCCTCCCGGAAAAAAGGGAGGGGTTTGTGTGGTGGTGGGGTAGGGGGGAAAAGAAGGGGTCTGGAAAGCGGAAGGTCACTGGTTCGAGTCCTAACGGAAAACTTTTTGATCTTCCCCTGTTTCCAATTGGTTCTTTTAAACAAATGTCGTGATTTCTCTCTGCCAGAAATTGTGATAAATAATTCCAGCGAAAGATTGTGCGGGGTTTTTCGATAAACAACAGAAAGAATTTCTCACTTTTCGACAACGATTGAAGAGAGAATGCGTAGATCTCGCTGGTCCTTTTCCCTTTATTCATCTAGTTGTCCACTAGTTGTCCACTTCACCTATTGCATTGCGGCTAAAACAATAGCTTTGATTCGTACGATGAATTTCCATCTCTTTTCTTGACTCTTTTATCAATTCCTCATTCTTTAGCAAGTGTTATAAAGGGGGGGGGGGGGAAGAAAGCATTTAACTCAAATAACTCAAATATTTGATGCTCAAGTCTAGATAAAGCTAGATAAAGCTCTCGAATTACCCTTTGTACTCAAATTACGATTAATCATCTTTCATTTTTTAGTTATTTAGTTTTTTTTTCAAAAACTTTCTTTTATTTGAATAGATGAATTGAAAAAAACATTGAATTAAAAACAATTTTCCAATCCGATTGAGCTGATTGTTTCCTTTGCAAGTGAGAAATTTGACTAAAGAACACATTTTCGAAGTCTCCACCCCACAAAAATTAGCGCATAGATGAGTGGATGGGAAGGAGCTGCTCTTGAGTCGAAAAAAAAAAAAAAGAACTAACAACTAGAAAAACTCCCTCTTTGTCTTCTCCGTGTCTCTTGGTAGGTCAAAAAGAAAAAGGTGTGAGTATATTGTTTTCTCTTTTTGGGGGGCATTTCTTTTGAAGGCACTCAGCTATGTCCTTTCAACACACAAACATTTATTGACTTTCGGGCTTTACCTTTTCAAATCTTTATGATGTTGGTTTCATTTTGCCGATCTCAATAAGTGTAATCTCTTTTCCTAACCCAATTGCACCAAAAGAAATTGCGGAAATTAGCCTATCCCCTTTATTATCTAAAGCATTTTAAATAACAATAATAATTTTTTTGATTTTTGGTTATTTAAAATGCTTTAGATAATAAAGGGGATAGGCTAATTTCCGCAATTTCTTTTGTGCAATTGGGTCATTTGGATCAACTGGATCGTTTGCGCAACTTGCCATAACTTTCTTTTAAATCGACCAATCTTGATGATTTTTGATTTCATTTTGTTGCACTTATTGAGATCTACAAAATGAAACCAAAGAATGGTCGACTTAGAAGAAAATTATGGCGAGTTGCGTAAACGATCCAGTTGCCAAATGACCCAGTTGCGCAAAAAAAAAAAAAAAATGCGGAAATTAGCTTATCCCATAATAAGTTGTAAGTTAAAGAAATTTTTGTTATAAAAAAGCGGATAAAAATTCACTTTTAAACTTTCAAAATTTGAGCATACTGTAGCTATATATATGTTGTGTCCGATTTAGATTTCCGTCCGATTTAGATTCAATCTAAATCGGACGTCCGATTTAGATTGAACTTATCGCGGACGTCCGATTTAGATTACAGTCTATATCGGACGTCCGATTTAGGCTCAATCTAAATCGGACGTCTTATATAGATTGAACAATAATATAAACATGTTTAATATATGTTCTTAAGCGTTTTCTGTAGTTTTCTGCATTTTTCAAAGGTCTGTTACTGTCTTTTTCTGAAAAGAAAACCCAACTATGAAATAATCAATAAAAGACCTTTGAAAATGCAGAAAACTACAGAAAACGCTTAAGAAGATACATGTTTATATTATTGTTCAATCTATATAAGACGTCCGATTTAGATTGAGTCGTCCGATATAGACTGTAATCTAAATCGGACGTCCGCGATAAGTTCAATCTAAATCGGACGTCCGATTTAGATTGAATCTAAATCGGACGGAAATCTAAATCGGACACAACATATATATATGCTTTATTCAGTTGAATAGCGACAAGACAAAATCACAATAATTACCCGGGGACACCACTCAAAACACACCCAAAAGATAAATGGATACCTCTAGAAGGAATCACAGAGCAGTCAAATCAATTGCCGAAATTGCGGCTTTAAATCTAGCCAAGGTGGAAATATCATGAACATGAGGGGGTAAAAAGTTCCAGAGCTAGAAAAGGGAAATCATTTTCTAAAAACTAGAAGGTACAGAGTGACTGCAAAGTATAGCGACAAGCTTTTGAAAAAGTATCTATTCAAGAGATTGTCTTTTGTCTAATGTCGACTCATTTAAATCCTTGTTTAATGAAGTTTTATAAGATGAATCGGGGGAATTTTTGGTACAGATAAATATTGTCAGCTTAGGGCTACAATTCTCTAAATAAGTCTTTACGAGATTTGTCAAATAGCTTTTCAAAAAGTGTTGTTGCTAGACTTTGTAGTTAAATTGATTTGATTGACTTTTTTTGATTCCCAAGTTTTTTGTTTTTTTTTTTGTTTAGTTTAGTTTTTAGTCGATTTCCCCGTTAACATAGTCTATTTAGGATTTGATTTTTCAGAAAGAACACTTTAGAGAATTGATCTTTCTTTGTCTAGTCAATAAAATGTTCAAATAGTTGGCTCAATTCATTGGAGAAAGTCAGCTGTGCCTCATTTCAATTCTCCACATTATGATCTAAAGGGAAAAGCTTTTTATTGAAAGCAAGAAAAATCGTTTTCAAATGATTTCTTTGATTTGTTTTGGCTTTGATTCCTCCTCTCTTCTTCTTCCTCTTCTTCTTCTTCTTCTTCTTCCTCCCTCTTCTTCCTCTTCTTCTTCTTCTTCCTCCTCTTCTTCTTCCTCCTCTCTTCTTCTTCTTCCTCCTCTTCTTCCTCTTCTTCTTCTTTCTTCTTCTTCTTCTTCCTCTTCCTCTCTTCCTCTTCTTCCTCTTCCTCTTCTTCTTCTTCTTCTTCTTGTTCAATGTTATATATTATTTCTAGAATTCAAAAAAGTCAAAGAGAAAAAGGAAGAATTGATTGAGGATGAGTGATCTCATTGTGGGACATCATCAAACATCATCATCTGTTGGATAGTCGTTGAATCACTTCAAATCTCTATGTTTGCTCGAGCTAAGTTCGCGTCGCGGATTATGCGGTTTGTTTCGTTTTTCTCTTTTTTCATTATTTAATTTGGAAACATGATTCTTTACTTTTTATTACTTTTTAAATAAGTTTCCGTAAATTTTCAGCAAAATTTTTTCGAATAAACCTAACTGGGGAAAAACCTGCTTTGAAATGTGGAAAAATCGGGGAAATCATCAAAAATTCCGCTGCTTCCGGGGGCATTTTTGAAAAGAATTGCTGAATTCACAAAACACAAAGATAGCCTCACCGCAATTCCACATTTACCTTTCGTTTTTTCGATCTCATATTGCTCATATCGATTTCGATCAATTGCAAACAAGTAAATTGCATTTTTCGAAGAATCATTATCTTTTGAACAGAAGACCCACTTATTTATCCTTTTTTGATACAATGAACAATCGATTTCCTTCAATAATCTAAGCACAAATGTTTCCCAAATTGCCCACCGATATTCCGAAACCCGATGATGAAGAGAGAAGCCGAAAATCCCCCTCCAAACTCCAACCCATCTGGCACACAGTTTCCAAAGCTGACTTTGATTCAACTTCAATCCTCGGCAGTCATCGAGCTAATTTTATTTCAAAGCCGCATTCGAATTCATCTTCTAAAAACTCAGATATTCTTTTGAATCGATCAAACCACAAATCAAATGGTGTATTGAATCGAGTTTTCGAAAAACCATTCTACATCGAGAAGCCAAGAAGGAAATCGATCAAAAAGCCTAATAAATCAAAATCAAATCAATCAAAATCAAATCAATCAAATCGAATCTCCCCACCATTAACATTTCATGAATATTTGCATGAAAGAAGACGATCAAAACGATCATCAAAAATGGGGAAAAGTGGGAGGAGTGACTCGGAGATTCTCAGCATTAAACCACGGTAAGTTAAAAAGAAATTTTTGGTTTGTGGGTGGAAACTGATTGCTGAATCCATCCAGGTCTCTTTTGCTTAAGCTTTCCTCAAAGTAAAGCATTCAAAGTAGAGCAGAATCAGCTTTGAATTACTCTAAAGTTTCCAAATGAGCTCTTAACTCTTTGTGGAAAGATTTAGGTTGAGGCTTTTGCATTTCTGAAAGGGGGATTTATGGAAGAATGTTAGGTGGAGAGTAAGTAGTTCTATAATAACACATAGGTGTGGATAAAGAGTGTTGAAAGATCTCTTCAAAGATCTTTACTTCCCGGGAGGTGGAATGGATCTCTCGCGGTGAAGGGGGATATTATTTTTGCTCTCTCTTTTCTGTGTGGTGAAAACTCGAGTGGGCCTTTATAAGCTTTTATAGATTTTTCTGTCATCAATTCTCAAATATTTATTTGATTTTTGGATCACATTGTATGGAGCTTTATTGAATTGGGAATTTTGATTCGATTTTATTCTATTCTATTCTATTTTATTCGATTTTATTCTATTTCACTACATCGAAATCGTAAAAAACCACAATTCTAGCAATTCCTAATTTATCTTTTATTTAAACAATTCCTGTTATCCAAATGCTATTTTAAAAGCTCAGCTCTGAATCACAGCTCTGAATCTCAGCTCTGAATCTCAGCTCTTCAAATCTCAGCTCTGAATCACAGCTCTGAATCTCAGCTCTGAATCTCAGCTCTTCAAATCTCAGCTCTGAATCACAGCTCTTAAAACCTCAGCTCTCAATCACAGCTCTCAATCAATCAAAGCTTCTTTCAAAGATCAAAGCTTCTTTCAAATCAAAATCTAAACAATCTCTCTCTCTCTAGCCACATGTTCGTCAAAAAGCCAATATTTTTACGAAAAATTGGACTCTATTCTCGAAATGGATAAGCAAAGAAAAAATGATTTCTTCACTTTTGCTGACGATGAAGGAAATGATGAACAACGACAACGACTTCAATCAATTTCTCGAAACACTTTACTTGTTATGGACAAAAATGGAAACCCAATGCGTTTCGATGAGGCAACTGGGTCACACTTGTTAAGCACAATTCCCGAAGTTTCCGAAATAACAAATGCGACCACTCCCGATTTCCCGTTAACACCGCAAGTGCCAAGAGCAGCGCTGAAGAAATTGTTGCGCAGGACGAACACGGCAACGAGGGATTTCGAGTGAGTCATTTCGTGTCATTTTCTGTCGATTTGATAGAAAAGTTGAGAAATTTAGATTTTTAATGATTCTGAATCTTTTAATGCAAAAAGAATTATCGATTACTTAGCCTTGTCATTCATTTTTTGATAATGCAAAGAAGTTATCGATTATTTAGCCTTGCCATTCATTTTTTGATAATGCAAAGGAGTTATCGATTACTTAGCCTTGCCATTCATTTTTTGAAATCCCTATTTCCAAGGGAATTTCCAGGAGAATTTCTTTTATTCACAGAAAAATATTTCCACTTTTGATGGGAGAAGAGGATTGAAAAAAAAGATTTTCGCAAAAAAAAATCAGTGAGTGCAAGTGGGTGAAAGGGGGAAAGGAGTAGAAATAAGCTGAAGGAAGGAAGAAGAAGGAAGAAGAAGGGAAGAAGAAGGGAAGAGCTTGAACTGAGAATGACTGGATGACTGGAAAGGGGTTGGTGGATGTCTCTGGGGAGGGGTAAGGACCTGTGGAAGAGTTGAGGTCTTCTCTCAGAAGTCTATCCTCCTTTCCTAAATCCGAGTGAAATCCCGGATCTTTCAATCCGTGCTTCAATCCTTATGGCTTTCCTTTATGGAATGGGTTTCATGGGGAAGAGATCAGCTGACTTTTTTTCAATAAAAAAGATGCACTCTACATGAGTTAGAAAGCAAGAAATCATAAAAAAAAAGAAGAAATAAACTAGGGTAAATTGTAAGATTTAAATGATTTTCCTTTATAAAATGTTTGATGGTATCTAGTGATAACAAACGTTTTGTAATGTATTTGAATTACTACCATTTTATGCCCGTAAACTCTAAAGTCTTGCTCAAGTCTTTTTGAAAGTATGCCCCTGCCCCCGAAAAGGCGATGACAGCTCAGATGAATAGTGGGGCTCGATTTTCGAAAAGAGAAAAGAATCGAAACGAAGCGAAACGAAGCGAAACCTTTCTCCCATTTGATTCCCTGAAGAACAAAGCTTCCTCATCTCCCTTCTCTTCCTCTAAATTTTCAGCTTTATCCAGAAAAGTGGAAGCTTCTTTCTTTTCTAGGAAGTCAATTATTGATAGTCAATTATTGGTAGTCAATCAATGCTAGTCAATCATTGGTAGTCAATCATTGATAGTCAATACTGATAAATCCAATTTTCAGATTGAAATTGAATTGGACGTTAATCAAGTTTAGGAAAATGTTGTATGAGAGAAAGTCTCTCTACAAGTGAATACTTGAGGATTTTCTCTCATACAATCTCAGTGCTTTCTCTCATACAACAATCCCAGTGCTTTGCCTGAATTGATCTGAATCATTTAAAGCTTTCATAAGAGAAACACTGACAGATTAGTTCCTTAGATGATCATTTCGAAGCGTTCGTTATAAGTGAGCTAAAGGGGATGGCTTTTTCTATGAGTGGCGAGGTTTTTGCGTGTCCCCAGGGGGGCCAACCGCGTCCCCCGTCTCTTGTGCCTTTCCTCAACCCCACTCTCCACTCTTCACCCCCACCTGAAGAGGCGTTGATGGGCCTTCCCCCCAACTCTCAAGCACTCTGGATATAAACATCGTGAATCTCTTTTGATTGGCAAAACCGGCACACATTTTGTCGAGCTTTTCAGCTGTTTTCGGGTGTTCAAAAGAGCCTAAAGTTGTTACACTCATTGCAGCACTGCCAATGAGTCGTTACACTCATTGCAGCACTGCCAGTGAGTCGTTACACTCATTGCAGCACTGCCAGTGAGTTGTTACACTCATTGCAGCACTCCCAGAAGTGTTCGTCTAGGTTAGATTTGATAGAAAAGCCGACAAATCCTCTAAAAATTGCTCAAGATCGCTCAAGCCCAGATTAAAGTCAGACCAAGTCCAAAGCCAATAAGCCAGCTGAAGGAATAGTTCAGGGTCAGACTAGAGTCAGACTTCTAGCCAGACTAGACAGCTCAGCCAACCGTAAAACTGTAATCAATGTAGCCAGGAAAATTCCCGATCAAGATAAAGAGATTTTCAGGGTCAGACTTGACTAGGATTAGCATTGCAAACATCCCTGTTCCAGCTCAATTCCGGTGTTGTCCTTAAAATTGAAGCTGAAGATCCCCTTCCTTTCCTTTTTTTTCTAAACTCCTGTCTTTCTTCGACTTTTTTGAGGATTTATTACGCAAAAACTCGGCTCTCGCGCTCAGAAGAAAAAGAAAAAAAACGAAGAAGTGACAAAGTTGGGGCTCTTAAAAGCAAGAAAAAAAAACTTGAGAAGGGCGAATTTTTTAAAGAAAGGAAAAAAAGTGAGAGACATAAGCTGGGTTTTTGAAAGGAAAAAAAAGAATCCGAAACATGACCTCATTTGCATTTTTCAAAAGAGAAAAAGATTTCACTTTTGAGTTTTTTCATTGGAACATCAACATTTGAAAGGAGTGCATTTAAAATGGGATTTTAAATGGGCTTTAAAAACAAGTTGGGGGAGATACAGATTGGGGAGATCCAGATTGGGGAGATGCAGATTGGGGAGATGCAGATTGGGGAGATACAGATTGGGGAGATGCAGATTGGGGAGATACAGATTGGGGAGATACAGATTGGGGAGATAAATAACATTTTTTTTTCTAACAACTAGAGGTGGGGGAGATACAGATTTTTTCAGGTTTACATTTGGTTTAGAAAATGAGGCCAAAAAACGTTGTTAACTTAGCAGATCAGATGAACTAAACTAATCTAATCTTGATGAATGAATGATCAGACAAGGAAAGGATAGACTAATGACCAAGTCAAGAACCAGAGCCTGGTCAAGAGTCGAATTCAGACTGGTTGATCCAGATCAGAGAAGACCTTGGCTTCTGGTCTTGATCCAACGATTTCTTTAGATCCTAAGGCACTTATCGTACTTGTCTTTTGTCCATTTGTCTTGATCTTTTCTTTAGCAAGCCCTTCCACGACTTCTTCGATGACTAAAGTGCAACTAAACCGGCTGTAATTCAAGTATTGGATTAGTAGGTTAAAGTTGAAAAATCTCAAAGCTCAACTGAATCTCTTGATCTTCAATTAAAGAAAGAAGGGTTTTTTAAAAACGAGAAACGTTCACTTTTATGCCATTTTTCATTTCTTTTCGATCTTTTGCATTTCTCGGATTGCGATTCTCCTTTCCAATCCTTTTCAGGGTGTTGACCCCGCCCTTTCACCCTTTTTGGTTCTTTCTTTTTTTTTTTGCCTTGTCCATCCCTCCAGATCTGAATATTCTACTCCTTTTGGAGCTCAATTCTTAAGTCCATCCATTCTTATGAACCTATTTTAGAGTTATTTAAAACTCTTAGCTAGATTTGAAATATTGAATTTGAATTCTTTGAGCTAATTCTAAATCGAAGCGAATTCTGCGTATGAAATTGACAAAAATTGATACTATACCTGGTAGTTGGGCTTTTGAAACTAACTACAATCTGGACTCAAGTTTCTATTGAATATTGAATCCTTGGCTTGAATCCTATTTGTTAAGCACTATTGGTTGAAGTCCTGAAGCTGTAGAAGTCCTGAAGCTATTGTAAATCCAAAAATCTGCCTTTCGACTCTACTATTCTTTCAATATTCTTTTGATTATTCGCTCAAGATTCGGGAAAAATACTCAACCCGCTCTACTATCATCATCAGGCGCCGGGGAGGCGCGTGAGTGGCGGAGAGAAAGGTGGAGCACCAGGTGGGAGTGGGACAGCCGGCTCCACCCATCCACCACCGATCCCCGGCGGATCACAAGGACACTCGAATCCTGTGATCGGTGCTCGTCTCAGCTATCCGCTTCACATTGACGCCTCACCATCGCACTCATTTGGCCCACCCTCTTCCCCGCCATCTTTACGCGATTTACCAAATCCCGAAGAGCTCAGGTAAAAACGAAATCTTCTTCCGCATCTTATCTAGATCAATCAGCACTTAAAAGCTGATCAATTCCATTTTGAAGTACCAGTGTAGGTGTTATTTCATTGAGGAATAGCTGAGAGTTGTAGTTGTGGTCATCTCTTTCCCCATCATTCGGCCCCTATTTTCCCTTTACTCTGAAGCCATCCTCTTTTCACGGGGCTTCATTTCCTAATTGCAAACCTCTTTTCTTTCTCACTTCTATCTGGAAGCTATCGTTGAGTTTAGAGAAGTAAGAAGAGTTTGAAATGAAAACAAAAGAAAAAAAAGTCGTGGTTTCATTCGAGTATTTTGTGCTGTTGAAATTCGAAATTTTTCTTTTCGAATCGATCATTCAATGATCCATTTCTCAGTGTCGAATCCATTGGATTTCACGAAGCGCACATCATTAGGCGTTTTTTACCTGCAAAAGTTTGTTTTTCTTTTTGTTTATTTATCCCAATAAGCTGATTCAATTTACCGTATTCTCTCTAAAAGTAGTGCACCCAGAGCTTCGCCTAAATTCCTCGAAATCTCGAGAACCGCTTATCAGAACCTATCGATGTGGGATCGGAAAATGTAGCTGACGATGAGATCTAGTCGGGGATTAGAGTGTTGAGCTTCTGGGAAAGCTTGGAAACCGTAAAATAGTCACCAACTCGGCAATATGAAAGAAAAGATCAATCGACAAAAAATCTCTTTATTTTCCTGAGTGTTGAGCTTCTGGGAAAATTTTGAAAGCCGTCAAATAGTCATCAACTCGGCTCCCCGAGTGCATGACTATTAGGGAAAATACGGTAATCATTCGATTCAATTTACTTTCAAGTTATTCTTCTAGTTTTCATTGCAATTCAAATGAATTACTCAATTTCTGTGAGTTTCATTGTAAAGAAAAAGACCCAGAAAACTTAATTATATCAATGTTTTTTTCTTTGTTCAACCCAAATTCTATCAAATTTCAATTTTAATCATAAAATCTATCTCTACTCAACTTTTTAACTTTTAAATAATCAAAAAAAAAAAGCTTTCTATTTCAGTAAATAAATGGGAAACGATGTAAACAAGAGCAAGAATTTGATTAAAAAAAAATTTTCGGTGAAAAAGTTATCGATAATTTCGATTTCGATAATTCGATAATTTCGATTTCGATAATTCGATAATTTCCTGGTTGTCTTCTTTCTTTTTCTCTTTGTTTGCATCGGCAACTTTTGAGCGATAACTGCTCGATGTTTCGAGGGTAACTCGTCTTTCTTCTTAAGAAGGAGAAAAAAAAGAAGAAAAGATCCCTATGGGGACCCGTGAATCATGTTTTTCACCAACAAGTGAGCGAATGGGGAAGGTGGTACAGATCACCCTGAAACATTGCAAATTTAAAAATCAAAAATTGATTTTAAAAGCTTTTAAACATCATGAAATAATGTATAAAAAGTATTAGAAATTAAAGAAATTATAATAATAATAAATTCTAATAAATACTATTCTAATAAACTAAGAACAGCGGGTTTATCTCATTTTAGGTTAGAGATCTTTAGATTCAATCAGTTCTTGTTTAGTTTTACTTTAGTTTTACTTTAGTTTTACTTTAAATTCTTGATTATTTAACAAAAAAAAAAAACAAATAAAATATCATTGTCTTGTGTACTTTGCACTATTCAAAAACATAAACAAATCTCTTCTAGCGTACTTTGGATTCTTTGGAAAATCGAAGAGAATCTAGTGCACCAAAAGAGATTGCTTTCTTGCTAATTTCTTGCGATTGAGAGCACAAAGTATAAAGCGGAAAAAGTCGATCCCTCATAACTCTTCAAAATTTAGCAAAATTTCATTTGCAATCAAGAACATAAGAAGTGGGAGTTGGGGAGTTCATTTCTTTCCCTTTTTGCTCAATCTGAAATCAAATTTCTCTCCTTATCCCTTTCTCGCCAATATGCGTTCCATTTCCTATCCAGTCACTCACTCAGTTCAATTCAATTATCTCTTTATTACAAGATTTACCCCTCATCTCCTCGAAAAGCTACACATAAGAATCGTAAAAATCGAAATTATTTTTTAGAAAAATTTAGTAGAGCATATACCGTATACTCTCTAATATTATGGATCACACAAGCTCAAGCCAGGTTTACAGGCCAGCCTAGGTCGGGATTCGACTTCTGATCTGGCTCTGACACTAGACTTACATTTAGATAAATGACACCGTCTTCTCTCTAATAGTAGTGCATCCTGAGCATCGCCTAAATTCCTCGAAATCTCGAGAACCGCTTATCAGAACCTATCGATGTGGGGTCGGAAAATGTAGCCGACGATGAGATCTAGTGGGAGATTTGAGTGTTGGACTTCTGGGAAAGCTTGGGAACCGTAAAATAGTCACCAACTCGGCTCGGCGCGGTGCACTACTATTAGAGGGAATACGGTATATAAGTAATAAAAGTTTAACTAGAGATTTCTACAAGTACTAAGTCTAAAAGTTCAATCGAAAAGCGTAAAAAGAGTATCGTTTAAAACGACTTTCTCAATCGGTAAAAAAGGTAAATTTTATATAAACGCTTTCATTGGTAAGTTGTTTAAAAAAATCGTTGATAAACTTCAAACTGAATTTCTAAAGCCTTTTAAAGTTAGAAGTAAAGTATTTATCAGTTTTTCGTTAACTTTCGGAAAAAGAAATCTATTTTTGAAGTAAGTAGTAAAAATTTGTTCATTAAAACATTCAAATCACTGTTTTTTTTTTCAGCGCCGAGCGCCTCAATCTCTACCTCGATCGAAATGAAGGCGATTTGGACAATATCGATGAGGAAAACGAGGATCAAACAAAGAAAAGCCCGAAAGAAAGATGGAAAAAGGTTTGTGAGAGAAAGGAAAAGAAAGAAAAGAAAGAAACAAAGAAACAAAGCTTTCACAGGGATCGCGGTTGTGCTGATAGATTAAACAACAAAAGATTCATTGATAAGTAATCTAAAAAGTAATCTAAAAGTAATCTAAAAGTCTAAAAGAACACAATATGCTAAACTAAACTTCTTTTCTTTGTATTTTTTTTTTCAATTTCGGAATCAATTAAAACTTTTTTACGTCTATTAGTTACTCTCGCACAACTTCGATGCCCTTTTTCTCAACCAATAACCTATCGTAAATACTGTAATAGTATCCCACCCCCATAATGACAGTGCGGAGTGTTGCGTAGCCTAGCTTTGAACGAGGTTTTTCTCGACACTGGTTTATGCTACAATGCTCGCTTAAATATCAAAAAATAGCTGAAATTCAGGGCTATTTTTTGATACGAAAGACGCATTTTTTGAAAGTACGGGCGCTTTAAAAAAAATGAAATACTAAAATACTAAAAAACTTTTGCGACTACGCGACTGTACGAAGGGGGGTGGGGTAATATTACAGTATTTAAGGTAGCCAAAACAAATAGAATAGAGCATATTGTTTTGTCTTTGCCAAAAGAAAAAGCTTGTTTAACTTTTTTTTTGCTTTTTAATCTCAAAAATAGCAAAAATTCATTTGGAGGTGTGGGAATCGGCAAGGAAAACCGCCTTCAAGCCCGAGGTGTTTTTCGCATATAAAACATTGCCTTCGTGATAGTTTAGTCCGAAATAATTTCAAAACTAGAAAGCTCTGACCATTTTGCTCAATTACTTTACCCCAAATTATCCGCCATACGTGGATTGATCGTGGCTTTTCTTTGACCCGTTGCCGATCAACAATTTTGCTGAGTTGTCTTTTTTTTTTTTTCGTTTTTCTTTTTCGCGAATCGATTTTTAATTGATTAACAGTGTTCTTTGAGCGGTTTTTTTTTGAAAAACTTTACTTTTATCTTTATAATACTTAAAATTGAGGTGATTTTTTTGAAAAACAGATTTTAAATTATCAAGAAAACTACTCAAAGAATACTAGCTAGTGAAAAAATGAAAAACATGAGTTTCCTTTGCTTTCAGAGACTCCGAATAATGTTACCACACGTTGGTTTGGTTCTTCTCTCAGCTATGTACACCCTACTCGGTGCGGCTGTCTTTCACAATGTAAGTTTTTTTTTTCTGGAATAACATTGAATTTTTTGATGAATACTTTAGGTAGAAATGCCTTACGAGATGCAATTGCGCAATGAAACTTGTACACGGGTCACCACTTTCAAAAAAGAAGTGAGTTTTTGAATGTTTCGAATCAAATTTTAAATAAAAATGGTTTATATGAGGTATTCATTTAGTCAAGGAGTTAGGAAAGATGAAAAGTCTGATTAGATTAGCAAAATCAGTCTGCAGGTAGGTTTCTTGAGCGGGTCAAGCCATTTCAATGCTTGCTTTCCCAGTTCCCAAGTTTCAAGTACGGTTTCTTGCCTGCTCATCTAGTTTAGACTGGTTTAGACTAGTTTAGACTAGTTTAGCCTAGTTTAGACTAGTTTAGACTAGTTTAGACTAGTTTAGACGAGCCTCAAAGCTACAGTTTCGTTTAAAACCATTCAACAAAACATTTTTAGACAATAGAGCGGCTATGGCGGCTACGACAAGAGCGCTTCACCGAATTCGAGCGTACCGCCGAGGATGCGTGAGTTGATTAAGATTTTTCTTTTTAAATTTCGCACAATTTTTAGAATGGATCACATTATTCGCGATGTTTTTCACGATTACACAAAAGAATTACATGATTCCCGATGATATCATTCGCGGCGATGGCCCAGTGAAATGGTCATTCGGCGCCTCGATTTTCTTCTCGTGGACGGCCATCACGACTATTGGTGGGTGAAATTTTTAGATTTAAATAAACTAGATAGATAAGTTTAGATAAACTTTGTTTTTTTCAACATTTCCCTTGAACTTTTTCTTAAATTTAAGCCCATTGCCAAGTTTTTCTCCAAATCGAATCCGAAAAAAATCTCAAAGACATCAAAAAGCGAATAAGAATAAGGGAAATAAGAAGAAACAAAAGTCACTGTCGTTTTTTTTCTTCAGTTTTTCTCTCGCGAAAATTCCCTAGAGGCCACTTCGAGTGTGAACTCATTGCTGAATAATACGCAAGCGATTGCCGAGTGACAGCTTTTTCTCGTTTTTTTTCCTCATCCTTTTCTTTTTCTTCAAAAATTCTCCTATTTGGGACGTCACTCTAGGGAGTTTTTGCGCGAGTTTTATCCCCAAAAAAAAAAGACAAATCTTTTTTTGATTCAACGAGTTATCGATGACTTGAAAGAAGATTTCATTGAAGTTGGGGTAAAACGAATAAAATATGAACGAAATCGTTGAAAACAAGAGAATTTTTTGATTTGCTGAATGATAGAAAGTTTATTTCAAAAGCCAAGACTCAATTCAACATATGAATTCCGAGAATTTGTTAAATAAACTGAAAGCAAAAGCTGTTCAAAAGCGATGATCGATGAACTTATTTCTTTTACATCTCAAAATGTTCTTTGTGCTTTCTCGTGCATAGATCGATTAAAATTTGATCTTAGGTTACGGTCACATCGTTCCGCGGACATGGCTCGGTCGATTGATCATCGTTTTGTATGCGCTCATCGGTATCCCATTGATTCTCGTCACCATCGCCGATATGGGACGATTTTTGTCGGGTATTTGACAGCTTTTTCTCGCTTTTATTATAAATCTTTTAGGCGGTATCATCTGGGTGCACAACACATCGCGAAAGATGATGTCGAAATGTTGGAAGAAATTCTGGGGAACGCTCAAGTGCTGTTTTTGCTTTATACAGTTGAGGTGATTTCAGGAAAGTGAAAGGAATGGAAAGCAAAAGTTTTTAGACGAAAGAAAGCTTTACTTGATCAACTGCATAAACAACAACAACAACAATTGGCGACAGTGGATCAGCTGGACAAGAAGCGATTTCGGAAACGAAATCAAGATGGAGTGCTGAATGGGGATGAGGTGTCTGATGCGGGCACTTTTGAGGGTGAGTGTTTAAAGTTTAAAGTTTAAACTTCGAGTGTTTAAAGTTTAAAGATTGATTATGATTATGAGTCATTTTTAAGTTCAAACTGTGAACTTTGAAATGTTCAATTTTAGACATTAGCGACATTCACAATGCGGACAGCGAAGGGAAATCGGAGTCAGCAGAGACGAACGCTCGCGCCGATGAGGTTTGGATTTGAATTGATGAAATAGAATAGATATCTTAGTAGATTGAATGTGATTCGTGTGCAACTTTTATCCAAATTTCCAGGTCGAATTCGAGGCACCGCACGAGCGTCGCGTTTCCGTCATTTTCGTCCTCTTCATCATGATCGGTACATAGAAATTAAATATTTAAATAATACTTTTATCAGTTTAGTTCTTAAAAGCATTAAACTTTTCCAGGCTACGTGGCTGGTGGCGCATGGTTGATTCGTTTCTGGGAGAATTGGGATTTCTTTGACGCTTTCTACTTTTGTTTTGTCACCGTCACGACGATCGGTTAGTGAAAAGAGGTATAATTGATGAAAAGCAATTGTTTTTTTAGGTTTTGGTGACATCGTACCGCTGAACTCGGATTTCTTTCCGTTAACACTCGCCTACATTGTGCTCGGGTTGATCATCACGACGATGTGCATCGGTGAGCAATTTTAAGCATTTTAAAAGCTTTATATAATGCATCTAATTTTTATTTATTTTAGATCTCGTTGGCAGCGAGTACATTCGGGATATTCACTTCTACGGGCGCTCGCTAGGTCGATCTTTCATGACAATCGGTGGAAAGGTTAGGTTTACGCGTTCATTGATATTCTTTATGTTCAGCTATTCAACTTTGAGTTGACATTGTTTCACTTATACTCCATTTTTTTTACAGGTTGTCCATCTCGGCGAGGTGTTCGGCTATGTGGCGTTTCTTCAAAAGAACTACGGTCTCACGCCCGAGCAACTCAACAAATTGGCGCAATTGCCAGAGGTAAAGGGAAAAAAAAGATGAAGCTACATGTTTCTTTTTCAGGAGTACTTGCTCGATTGCCTGATCAACGGGCGACAACCCGACTTGAATTGGATCGGCGGACGGCCGTATGTGCCACCGGACATTTACTATTTCAAAGTATGACTCATCCTCTAGTTATTGTTTTTTTTTGTAACGAAAAATTTCTTTTCAGTGGATCGAGCACCCGCGAACATTATCATTCGCCTCGGAGCGTGTTTTAGCCAGCATGGAGAGTCTCGATTTAAACACAAGCAGGTTTGTCAAGGGGATCGATCCTAGACAGAGAATATTCAGTTTTTCTCTTCTAACAAAGCTAACATTATTATGTTCGTTCAAAATCGTCAGCTATTCCCAATTTTCAGATGTTCCACCGCTCGCACGTTGACTCCCCGCGAGTACTATCAACGAATTCTCTTCCAATACTGTAAACAAATGCAACCCGACGATCCGGTATTGGATATTGATGAGAATAAAAAATAAAAAAAAAAGCTATAGATTTTATTCTTATAGATATTTCTTGATTAGGATTTTCTCCGCCAAAATTTCCTTTCTCTCCGCACGAATCGGGTATTCTGTTTTTCTCTTTATGAGGGTTTTTTTTTTGGTATTTTCTTTTTTAATAAGCCCAAATTTGTGCTCAAGTAATTATTATTTGTGTGTGGCAATTGAAATTTCATGTCCTTCATTTTTAGGTGAGTTTTGAGAAGAGGTTTTTTTCTTTCTTTCTGAAGAAGACCGGTGTTGAGGAGAGAGATAGGTTGGGCGAAAAAATTTGGGGCAAAAGTCGTGTCAAACAATTATTTGCCAAACTTTATTCTTCCAATTTATGAAGTTTGTTTTTCCGAGATTTAGCAAACCAATCGATCTCTGTTTCTTCATTTCACCAAAACATACTTTTCTAAGTGTGTATTAGACTGTGTTCATTTTGGGTGAAGCGTTTGCTAAAACGTACTTTGAAAAAAAGCTACCGTAATCCCGGAGCTCTAAAATTTAAGCCATCTCTTGGTACCCTGAACCTACCTGCCGTACTTCAAACCTATTAAGCCTATAAGTCCAGAGTCAAGCTAGAAGTCAGATCCAGGTAATGTTCTTATTAAGAACAACAAGGTTACGATAGTTTCTAGAAAACAATTTGGCCCGAGGAATACGTTCTAGTACATGTATTTCATTTCCATATTGCCTCTTATCCCACTGTCATTTTCCGCATCAAATTCTTTCTTCCACAAAATCTTTTAGAATTCTTGAGGATTATTTCGTCTTTCAAAAATTCTCAGCATTTTCCCCCAGTTTAACCCTAAATTCCATTCATAAACATATCCAAGTGTAATTTTTTTCAAAAATCTATGTAAAATCTCTTCTGGAAAACACCCAATCTAGTCTTTTTTGTGCCATTTTTTCATGTGAATTTCTTTGAGCTCACTGCCCATAAAAGAAGGATAAATTTTTGCATCCAAATCTTCAATGCTGATTTAAAAATTGCCGTATAACAACGCTTTATTCTGAAAAACACCTACTCATCACTATTTAGAAAGAGAGAAAAAAGAACTACACGCCTAACACAATAGCAAAAGAGAGGAGAAAACGGGGGAAACAACAATTGAGCAACGCCAATTCAAAACAAATGGAAACAAAAACCGGACACAAAGTGAGATACACAAACAAAAAGGAGCTAAAGAAAAAGAATGGAGGAAACTAAAATGATCAAATTTTACAAAGATAAGAACGTTGGAGATAATTTGATGACATAAACTTTTCAAAAATCCTTGTGGGGAAAGGATAACAATAAATACTAATGAATAGAGAATGAACGGAAATACAAAATGAGTGTTTTGTTTGTGATTGCACCAAGAAGTGATTCGTTTGACATGCACACATCAAAGCATTCCGCATTCTTTCTATCATCCCCCTCACTCCAATTCGTCGTCAATGAGCTCGCGGATCTTTAAAAAGGGAAAAGTTAGGTAATGTTAATGGAGAACAATAATAAAACCCTTAAGAATGACTTTAGCTTAGTAATTTCAATTTGGCTACTAATAAAGTTCGGGGGGGGGGGGCACTTTGATCTGATTTGGTCAGCTCGTACTTTTTGACCGTTTTACCAATGGTTTCATTTTTTCTGCGGTAATAAAACATGCTGATAACATGATAAAACCTATTGGTGATATTTTTAGAAAGTTTTGAACAATCTTTACGAATGTTTTATTGCGCTAGCTGAAGTATAACTGTTGCAGTGCCGCAACTCTATAAAATGAGGCCAGGGGTGAAATACAAAGTGAAAACTTATTCAAAATACTTTAAAAATATCACCAATAGATTAAGCGTATTTGATTACCCCAGAAAATGCAAGACCAGACTAGAAAAAACACGCTTAAAATAGGTTGCGGCCGGGTCAAGTCAAAGTGGTACTTAAATTTGAGCTTGCATCTCCATCAACAGGTACATTAAGATTAACCTAGATAATGCCAAAAAGTAGGTGAAATTGTAATTGTAAAGTAAAGTATTAAGTCAACAAAAATTTACCTGCACAGGTGCATCAGTATCGTCGTTGCCTCCCATGAATTGCATGATCGGTGCCCCGTCTCCTCCCGCACCTGCAGCTTCAACGAAATCGGCGGCACTGTCGTACGCTTGCGAAAGACGCTGTTAAAAACAAAAGATTAATGTGGGGAACAGTGGCACACGTTAAATAAGGATATTAAATTTTGGTGCAATTACAAAAAGGAGTTCAGATAATTTAATCAAGATCAACAGCATCAGTATGTTGCTCGTTATTCGTTTCGAGTGTTTCCTCATTTATGCCAAAATGATCGGCCAAACGCTAGAATTTCAAAGTAGTTTCTTCTACTTTGATAGTATTTTTAAACCGAATCTCTCCAGAACCAACCTCACGAGCCGTGGGCAGCACAGCCAAGACGGCGTTGAATTGCTCTGGTGGGAGTGTCTGTTGGAAGATCGAAAGCAATTGTTGCGATTGTCCACACAAAACGATCGCGTTGGCTATATGCAAAGCACCCTCCTCGGTGTTACCTGAAAAAGGAAAATTTAATCGGTCAAGATGGCATTTCATTTACATGCCCTTAAATGATAAATTGTTTTATTTATGACTTAACAAGGATTATGTAAAGATTACATCTCAACGATAGCATTGCTGGGTTGTGCTTAATGTTTGTCTTGTAATTCTGAGGCGTATTGCAGCTAGGTGAAAAGTTTATACCGAATGGAGAATATTATCGTGCTAAAATAGATGGATTCGATCAAGGATATGAAGTGATTTCAGTGAGATCTGGTTAAAACCATGTGGGGCCACGTAATTGTGGGCGAGATCAGGATGGTTTTGTAATTTAATGATTACAACGGGCTAAAAATGAGCAGAATCCATTTGATTGGCAACGCATAAGTGAAATTTGATAAAACTGGTCAAGTTTAATATGTGAAGTCCGTTGTTTAATGTCTAATAAATAAGACTTTCTCATAGCAAGCTTGCACCAGTAGAGAAACAAATTGCACATATGTGCCACCAACTCAACGCAATTGCTGAGTCGCCTGGTCATCGAATTAACCAAAAACCGACCGGCTGACATCAATTCCTCGCCGAGTTGCACTTCTTGCAGGAAATACGATTGCATCTGCGTTGGGTTGCGTGGATCGGGCAGATCCGACTCCGAGTCGAGGCCAGCGCCTCCACCACCACCAACACGCGCTCCCGGGCCGCGAGCCTTGGCACGTCGCTCTAAATAAAGCATTTTTTGAGCCACATACAATAATGTTTTCTGATCCTAATCACCCCTTTATCCTTAATAGAATCATGCAATCACTCCAAAACTCACTTTCACGAATTCGCTGCTTGTACTCGGGATCCGAACGGCGCTTGTGGTCAAAGTAGATGGCATAGCCGACGAAAGCCGCACCTGGAATAGGGAAATTGGTGGTAATTCGATAGAGCGCATTTGAAACTGATATAACTTTACAAAAAATACCAAAACCAATACGCTAGCTTCTTTATAAACTATGGCAAGTAAAAGTTAACGAAAAGCTCACCAGCAATTCCGGCGATGGTCAGCAGGCTCGATTTGTTCAAACCAAGAAGCGTCGACGTCGACTGTGCCATCAGCTCTAAATAAAGAAAATTGATAAAATGCAAGAAAAAACATGAGAAAAGCGAATGTTGAAAGAAAAATCACGTTAAACGGGCAGTATGCACAAAATTTTAGCCAAAGACTGGTTAAAGTCATCAGAATTTTGTACGTTTTATCAATTTTCAATTGAAATGTCAAAAGTTTGCTTAAAAAGGCAAAGAAAGGACATAAAATTTCGATTCCATAAGTTTCATCAAGGTCGGAAAGAAAACGCACGATTAAAAAATTGCGTTTCAAAAGTGAACATTGGTAGGAGTACGGTAGGTGGAGCGTGGAAAGTGATGCCAAAAGGATAACACTGCTTGAATTTCCTTGATGTCATTGGATTAGACTAATTTAGTATAAATTAGAATTATAAAGGAACTAAATAGGAACTATAAAGGAACCATAAAGGAGCTATAAAAGAACTCTAAAGGAGCTATAAAAGAACTCTAAAGGAACTATAGAGGAACTATAAAGGAACTATAAAGGAACTAAATCGGAACTATAAAGGAACTATAAAGGAACTAAATCGGAACTATAAAGGAACTATAAAGGAACTAAATAGGAACTATAAAGGAACTAATTTAGTAATTGAAAAATGAAAACTTTTAAGATCCTTATTCAATGAAAAAGTAATGACAAAGTTTTAAAAAAATAAAAATGAAATCGAATTCAAAAAAAATCCCAATCACTCCTGTTGACACGATACAATTCGACAAAACGAAAGTTAGTGCAAAATCGAAAAGCGTTTACTGGAAATGTTTTGCCAACAAAATTATCTACAAATCTGACATCAGATTCAAGAATTTACAATTTCATTTAGTTTTATCAAACCAAACTCGATTTGAAAAGCCATTTCATTTATCACTGTACCCAATTGTAACATTCAATTGTAACATTCAATTGTAACATTCAATTGTAACATTCAATTGTAACATTCAATTGTAACATTCAATTGTAACATTCAATTGTAACATTCAATTGTAACATTCAATTGTAACATTCAATTGTAACATTCAATTGTAACATTCAATTGTAACATTCAATTGTAACATTCAATTGTAACATTCAATTGTAACATTCAATTGTAACATTCAAGCCCAATTGTAAACATTCAATGCACCAGAAAGTTTTTTGTTTACGTACAAGAAAACAAAATCCCTTTTTATTCAAATCTCTTTTTCATTTTCAATTGAGAACCTTCAAACCCGTTGACTCATTCCTCAATTTCGTTGTGGATCTCGATTTGAAAAGCCCTTTCACCTCAACACTTCTACTTTATCCAAGAAAGAAAAAAAAAGTGTCAAAATTTACTCACCCCAAATTTTCAAAAAGAAACTGTATCTTTTCGAAGTTAAAAAGAAGAGAATTTCAGTAAACAGATGGCTTGACTCATTGGACTATTTCTTAAACGGTGATTCTCTATTTTGCCAAGATCGCCTAGCAAAAGCAATGAGGAAAAAAGAGTTGACACATTTATAAGCTCTCGAAGTTGTCAAAAGCGAAAGGGATTCATTTATTTGCTTTTTCGAGTTTCTTCTTGCTTTCTTTGGGGGGAGATTTCTGTTGGCTTTTTGAAGGGAATTCGAGTAAAGCGAGCAGATCATTGAGGTTTCATTTGAGAGTTTTTCATTTGAGAAGCGTTCTAAAGTTTCCGAAATATTGAGAAATCTTATCTTTTATACTCGATTTATTATTTTCCGGTTTTATATCTATTGTTGAACTTAATGTTTTCGAATTTTAGTAAAAATATGAAGATTCTAATCCTGTTAGCGACAATATCCACGTGTTTTGCCCAAAGCTGTGAGTTTCTTCAAAGAATCATCGAATTAATGAGTCGAAACCAAAAAAATAAACCAAAATTCAGCTCAAGTGGGTCAGAATAGTCAAGGGCAATTTGTCGGCTATTCACAAACGAAAACGGCGACATTCACAAATGGACAACCATCCTCATCATCGAACACTTATCAATACAATGCGGCTGCAAGTGAGTGCCAAAGCTGAAGCCAAAGCTGAAGCTGAAGCCAAAGCTGAAGCTGAAGCCAAAGCTGAAGCTGAAGCCAAAGCTGAAGCTGAAGCCAAAGCTGAAGCTGAAGCCAAAGCTGAAGCCAAAGCCAAAGCTGAAGCTGAAGCCAAAGCCAAAGCTGAAGCTGAAGCCAAAGCTGAAGCTGAAGCCAAAGCTGAAGCCAAAGCCAAAGCTGAAGCTGAAGCCAAAGCCAAAGCTGAAGCTGAAGCCAAAGCAATACTGTTACTGTTACTGTTTTTTCTTATAAAACCTCAGCTATGTATTATGGATCTAGCTTTGTATCTTAGGGATCACGGTAACGAACCAACTAATAGTACTTACGGTAGAATATTAGTGTATGCTAAAATAAAAAGTCTATCAATCCTTTTTCAGATCCATCAATGCTAGGCGGTCAACAACAGGACTCTACACAGTCTTCACAGTACTCTCAACAACAAAACGCACAAACGAACACAAATAATCAATACGGTCAACAGCCACAGTACGATCCATACAATAATGGACAAAACGGCATGGGCACTGGGGCTCAATACGATCCGAATAATCAATTCGGTCAAACTACGACGTCACCATATAACCCGTATGGGAACAATCAGTACGGAGCGACGACACAGGTGCAGTTAGTGTTTGAAGTTTGAGTTTGAAGAGTTTGAAGAGTTTGATGTTGAGTTTGAAGAGTTTGAAGAGTTTGAAGGAGTTAGGTTTGAGGGTTTGAAGAGTTTGAAGCGTTTGAAGTTAGTGTAAAGTTAGGTTAAATATTGTAATGAACTAGAATCACTGTAAACATCAAAAATCTTCCAATTAGGGCTACAATCAAGGGATTTCTCAACAAGGACAACAACAGCAATACGATCAATCAAACACTAATCAACAATATGGACAGACGACAACGATGGGGTTAGCAAGAGTTGACTTTTGATGACTTCATTTTTGATTAAAATTTGAGATATTTACGATAGGTTACAGTAGATTACAGTCGATTTAAAAAGCGTTAATGCTTACGGCTTTCAATTTTTCAGTTACGGTAACCAGAACTCGAATCAATACGGCAATCAAATGGAAACCACCACAAATCAGTACGGCCAACAACAGTACAATGCTGGGCAATACGATCAAAGCAATCAATACGCGCAAACCGATTCTTTCGGCAATCCGATCACCACCACTGCCAGCTATGGATCAATGAATGGAGCCGGGATTTATCAAGTGAGAAAAAGGAATTTGTAAGATTTACAGTAACTTATTTAGGACCCTAACAGTCAATATAATCAGGCAAACAGTCAATATAATCAGTATGGACAACAAGGGGCACAGGTGAAGGCTTTTGCTAACAATGAGAATTACCCTACTCTATGACTAGCCTAAATTGATGTTTAGAACAATCAAAACGGTCAACAACAACAACAACAACAAAATGGTCAGTATGGGCAACAGCAGACGAATCAGTACGGACAACAGGTAAGACTTGGTGTCACTGCGTCTTTGAAAACGACTCTAATTTCAATCACGTTTTCACAAGGGAAGGTCAAATGGATAGGCTGGTCAAATGACAGCCATATACTATTCGACGCAGAATTTCACGCTCATTCCGAATCTGCTTTCCGTTTTTGCTATAGAGCAATCTGTCAAAAGTTATAAGCGCTTAAAGTTTTGTATGGAATTTCAAAAATCATCCCTCGAATTTACGAGCAGAATTTCCCTGGGATTTGAAAAGCAGTGGTGGCCGAGTGGTAGGCGGCTAGAATGCATGGCAAACCCTGTCGGGTTCGAGTCCGCTGTCTAACTTTATCTTGCTTTTTTAGAGGTAATTGATCTCTATTTCAAGTACAACTCTTTTTCAAACTACTTCTCATAAAAATGTTTATTAACTATTAACATTAAAGGAGTAATCATTAAAATCTAAAACATCAAATCTTCGCGAAACTGAGAGGGTCCGCTTTGTAGTCTAGCCGACTACCACTCGCCCACTACTGCTTTTCGGAGAGTTTGGGAAAGCTACCTGTAAACTTGGGGATGATTTTCGAGGGCCAATTTCTGCGCCAAACTTTAAGCGCGTATAACTTTTGACAGAGTGCTGTGTTGCAAAAACGGAAAACAGAGTCGGAATCAGCGTGAAATTCTTCGTCGAATAGGATATGTCATTTGGCCACCACACCCGGTTCACCTTCCCTTGTCAGTTTAAAATGCTCAAGTCTTGAAGGGAAATTGAATAGGCAAAAGAAAAAAGAAACAAAACGACCAAGCAATTAGGCGAATCAATACGGACAGCAACAACAGCAAACAGCGACGAATCAGTACGGTCAGTACGGACAGCAACAACAGCAAACAACGACGAATCCATACGGTCAGTATGGACAACAGACGCAGGTTTGTTAAAAGTTTAAATCAATACAACAATCAGCAACAGCAGCAGAACCAATTCGGCACTCAACCTCAATATGACGCGTCGAACGGTGGAATGATCGGCGGGAATGCAAACGGGCAGAACACTTTCCAGTAGGAGTTTTCAAAAAACTACAGTATGCCAATTGATTTCCTTTAGACAAAGCTCGGTGAATAGCGGCTCGGCGTCTGCGTCAATCCAACAATACAACTTCAACAATGGTCGATGTCAGTACGCGGTTTGTCTAAAAGATGTTCAATTGCTTGAAATCAAAATTTTCAATATTCTAGAACGGTCAAGTAATCGAGGACGGGCAAGCACGATCGTTGACCTCGAGTGAGCAACAACAGCTCACCCAATTCCAGCAACAATTGGACGGCTACTCGAAACAGATGAGCACACAGGTATTAGACTCGAAATGTTTTTGCAAACATCACGATTTTCAGATGGGTTCCTGGCTGCAAACGCTGCTCGTCTGGGACCCGACGAACGGCGCTTTTCCACAGTTGAATCAGGTAACTCGATCGTCTAAAACTTCAGCTATAAAGCTTTAAAACTTAAAACTAGATCGAATTAGTCCCCAAAAAATGCGGCGCAGTCGATATAATGTCAGATTCATTTCTCTGATCGAAATGGCTTGACTCCATGAAATTTTCAGTTCCCAACCGTTCCGCAACCGCCATGTTTCTGCTCGACGAGCGCTTGCGGGAACGCAACAAGGTGAATTTTCGTGGTTTTCATATTCGTAATGTTCAAGTTTTAAGACCGCAAACAAACTTGGTAACCTCAAAATTTAGCTCCCAAAATCAGCAATACCCGATGAGCAATGGCGTCCAATACGATCCGAGCCAACAACAACAGTAAGTGAGAAGGGAAATGTCTGAAAAAAAGCAAAGTTTGACACGAAATTCTAGGAACAATCAATACAACAATGGTCAGCAATCTCAAAACGGGCAACAACAGTCCCAACAAGGATCAACAACTCAGTAAATTGCGGAGCTAGAGATTTCACTTTACAATTTCCAGAAATCAATATGGATACCAACAACAAGGAGCCCAAAACAACCAGTAGGTTTCGCATTGAAAAGCGTGACATAACTCGGTATTTTCCAGAAACCAATACGGCAGCCAACAACAGTACCAATCCAATCAATACCAAACACAACAACAAGGAAAACGAAAGGTTCTGAAATTTTTTCTATAAAATTAACGTTGTATTTTAGCGATCGCTCCTCAGCGACTTGATGAAACTATAAATGCAAGCCTCAAAATTTTAAAGTCGATAAATTTATCACTTTCTAAGTCTGCGACAGTGTCCCCCAGTTGCTTCTTTTGTGTCTAACTTCTGAAAAGTTTAAACAAAATTGAACAGTTTACTGATATTTTAAAATACACCTAGTACATATAAATACTCCACCAAGAGAAACAAAATTAACAAACGTTAATAACACACAGAGTTGAGATCAAAGGTTCTCATTGAGGAGGATGGCACCGTTTCCTACATCGATTTCGAGCTTCTCCAAGACCATCTTCGTTAGTAAAGTATTTTGCTCGGAAAGCAACGCGTTCTAAAAACGATTTATGAGATTGCACTTTTTAACCTGCCACTAGCAAGCTACAAATTAATCAAAAAAGTTACAACTAAAAACCTTGTATTGTTCGATGGACTGCACGCGCGTGTAGAACTCACACAATTCGGCAAGCTAAATTTTAATCGATAAGTAGCTATAAAATAAAACAAACTTGCTTCTTCGTGTTACGCTCGTCTACAAGCTCGGCTTCTAAACGCATCACTCTGTCAAAAAGTGATTCCTGAACCAGAATTAGGACTTATATTTTACTTTAATAATTACTGATGATGTTCCACTTGCTGCTGCATGGTTTTCAGGTCCGGCTCCTTGCTGCTGAATCCCTTTCAGGACCAGCTCCAAGGGCGTTGGCGACGCATCCTAAATCAAGACTAAATTAAAAAAAAACCGATAGTGAGCATTACCTTTAAGCCATTGCCAGTCGATGAGAATTCATGACTTGCTTTTGGAAACAGTTCTAAAAAAATATTATTCTTTAAATTTTCACAAGATCTCTACCGATTCCTCCAAAAAGTAACTGTGACTGAGCCGACTCGCCATCCGCCAATTCTGGAGCAGCCGTTCTTTCACTGACATCACTCTAAAATGTTCAACTGTCAAGACTAGTAATTAAAACTACTAACCGTAGCAGTCTCAAGAAATTTTTTTTTAGCGCGCGGCTTTCTTTCCTTCATACCAGCAGCCTTCTTTTTCTTGAGATAGGCCTCAATGCGAGAGAAGTCGTCGGGAAAACAACGTCCAGCAATGGCCAAGAGGTCGTTCAGTAAAGGCTCCTCAACTCTGGAATGAAAATTTAAATAAGCATAAAAATTTTTTTGTCATCGCACACTAATCCGAATCAATAAACACTGTAATTACATCTTGTCGATAACCCGTGCGTTCGTACCGACATGATGATGCTGTACATGACTTGCCACCTTATCCCGTTTATGCGATCCAAGAAAGCATTCCGAACATGCAAAACCATCGGTGCTAAAAAATTTGATGTCAAAATATGAAAAAATCTAACAATAAGTGCTCCTTGCAAAGATGACCAATCAGGAAAAGGGTTCGATGTTTGTCAAGACACTCAATTTTCTGCTCGCAAATCTAAATAAAATGTGCACGCTCTAAAAATAAACTTTACATTGCACTTTTCATCGGCTTTCTTCGCTGGTGGCCCGCTATGGCAAGAATCGGGAACGACGGGAATCTAAAAAAGGGCTTTTAACTTTAGAAGCATTACAACTCAACGAAATAGGTAATAGTTTGCAAACAATTTCTCCAAATCGCTAACCTTGCAAGTATCAAATATAATCGAATCTATCGCAAATTAAGTATCGGAGCCACTTACCTGGACTTTCACATCCCCTTCCTTCATCGGCGAAATATAAATGGCTGCCTCGTCGTCCATTCGACAAAAAGGATAAGCATTACTAAATACCTATGCGCAGACTATAATAAAATAACAATCTTCGGTCGTGAACCTCGTGGAGCAAGCTTCGAAAAGCAAAGAACTGTTTATAAGAAACCAAAAGTATGAACAATGAAATTAAATTAACAAATAAAAATAACCAGAAATTATTAAAAACTTTTGAATTATCCAAGAAAAAAAACGAGAACTAGGCAAAAATTGCAACAATTTTGCACAATCCTTCAGTCGCTGTCACTTCGTGAATATGATCGCTCACGGCCACGGCGCTCACGACTTGGGACGGCCCCAGCCTCAGTCTTCCTCTTTATCGATAGTTTCTCTGCCGGTATCTTGTTCACTATGACCGATGGTCCATCATCTTTGTCAGAGCTGCTGCCAGACCACGATCGCCTACTGCACTGACGAGGTGCACCTAATTTTTTTTGTTAGGTTGAGATATGACAAAAAACAACAAACCATCTAGAGCTGGTGTCAGGCGGTCATCAGTCTTCCCGTTCTCGGAATCAACTTCACCGTCTTCTTTTTCACTATCTGATCGAGAATATGAACGTGCGCGGCGTTTGGTATTACTGATAGTACTTGAGTCTACAAAACGAGTTTTATTGGGTGTCACTTTCCAAAAAAATTTATTATATAAACGACTGGTTAAACTTACCTGCGTAAAGACGTTTGGCAGAAGTTCCATAGTTCTTATTGGCAAAATCGTTATCTCTAAAGTTAAGAGTGTAGCTTCTGGCTAAAAGCTCTCACTTACATAACAGCAGTTGAAGAGGCATCCAACCAAGTGTCATTGCCATTTCTTTGTCTATAATCTCCGTGTCCGCCGCGTCCTCCTCCACGACCACCCCGGCGAATCCATCTTCCCCGGTGACTAAAAATAAATAGTTTACCAGCGCCCCAAGTCTAAATTTTAGAAATATTGTGTTAAAACATTTAACCTGTCATCGTTTCTACCTCCGCCTCCAGCAATAGCATATCTGTTGTTTGGTGTTTCATCATGCCCTCCTGAGCGATAGTCTCCTCCTCTTCCTCTCCCGCCACGTGAAGCTCTATCACTATCTCGAGGCTAGGAATTATATAGATAGGTAGCGTTTAAATGGTCAACCTTGAATGCGTTTTCGAATGAGTCCCCAGTGCCGCTGCCATTGCCGCTTGCTATAATAAAAGAGAATTAAAATAGACAAACAAAATAAAGTTACGTTTAAAGAGCGGAGTCCCAGGGGCATCATCAAACACTGGCGTGCGCGGAGAGTAGACCTCTCGGGAGCGTCTAGAAGCAAAGTCGGGTTGACGCCTGAATCCACCCAAGCAATTTCCAGTACCTTAAAGCAAAAGTTATTATATTTCAAATGTATAATATTAGCTACCTCCACTGTTTTCCATGAGAGCTGCTCCCAAGCTTGCTTGTGCAGCACGTCCAATTCCTTGCGAGCGTTCTGTTCCCATCTAAAATGAATTCGGTCACGAAGTATTCAGGTTTTAATGCTCACCTGATCTAGCCCACTTGGTATATATTCAAGGGTTTTCTCTTCCTGACGGCAAAGTGGACCAAGTTGCAAATATCCTTCCTAAACCGCACGATCTTCATAAAATCATAAATTCGAAATACCTTGAGGAGCTGCTCAATTAAATGCTCCGCTACCATCTTTCCATGGAGGAAGTAAGCGTGCTCCCATTGCCAATGTCTAAACATACTTTGCAATTCTCACCAATTTCAAACAAACTTTGCAGTTTTTTCCCGACCATTCCAGAACTCTTTGATTGTTTGTTGAACATCGTGAGATACCACTTCGTGACCATCCTTTGCATGTGCAACTGCATCGATCGTTCCGTAAAATTCAGCTTTACAGCCGTCCGTCTTGCAATAATGGTTGAATGGGACTCTAAATTAATAATTAAAAATTAATTAATAATAATGTGGTTGTCAACGATAAAAATAATAAAAAGATAGGCTAAGACACAGCTTCACAACTTACTTGTTATGATGCCAAATGATGTGTTCCATAAGCAGAGGAAGACGAAAGCCGGCCTTTCCTGGGCGATTACAGTTAAAACTGCACTCAATCCGCATATTCTAAAATAAGATCGTTTTTCGATTATTACGTCAGAGCTTTACTGATAGCGGTGCTGGCTTTACGGGTTAACCTAAGCTAAATGCCAGTCGTTGGCCATTGCCAACGATGTTTGATAACGGAGTATGCACTAATACATATTCAGCCAATGGGGTGGTATTTAGAGTGTGGGGTAAACTGCAGTCTAGCCTCGGTTTGTACGAGCACTATTTCCTCTTCTATCTTTTACCCGGGCGGAGATGCTTTCTCCTTAGTTAATCGTGATATCTGATCGACAATCGACAAACTTTTTCCCAAATTGACGTGCAATCTGACCAATCAACTTGAAAACAATAGTTTTATCAATTTACAAGAAGTGTATTTCCCTTTAATGAATGAAGAGCAACAAAAATTTCGCAACCGGCGGTTAAATAGGGAAAATGCGAATACAATATTCACTCAACAGTGCAGAAATATTTACAATTGGAAAGGCGATCTACAAACGAGTTTTTTCCCAACTCAGAAATTTTCTTACCATTATTTGGTACAAAATTAACTTCAAACGAGAGAACTTACGTGATCATAAGCAATCTGATCAAATTTTCTGGCCAAAATCTCGTTTCTCATCATGGTTAAAAGGGCTTCTAAAACTATAAATTTGTCATATTGTCACTGTTGCTTCAAAGGCCCGAGACACTTTCGCGCTATTTAGCATTCTAATCAAACCTGACACTTTGAGATAAAATTTATTCTCAAATACATTCGTCAAAGTACACAAAGTAAAACACAAGAAAAAGAATGGCACAATGAAACTCTTTTACAATTCGTCATCAGAGATGAGCTTCTGCGATTCACCAGCATCTTTCTCCTTCGGATTGATGACGCGCGATTGACGGCGACGCATTTGATACCTAAAATTAGAAAATCTATCATTATGCTCGTATGTTCCTTACTTGTTAAAACTATTAAACTTAACTTGACCTTATTTAAAATTTATTGATTAAACGACAAGGTACCCAAAGTTAACACAGAACTCACTTGCGACAACATCTTTGAGCCAAGTAGAACAATCCCATTGTGACGAGAGCCGAGAGGACGCCGATGAGAATGGGCATCACGATTCGCTGATTGTACGGGTCACTCATCCAGACAGACACTTGCTCACGGATGGTGCCAATTTCCTTCTTGATCACACCTAGCTCATCTTCCATACTTTTGGATAGGCTTCTGTCGGTCTAAACGAAATAAATAAATACAACCACTTAAAAAAATTAGATCCAACTAAGCCAGGATAAAAGTGGCCCCTCCCAACCACCCAACTACCGGAAAAGTAACTGTAGGCCTAGAAAGTAGTATCTACTCGATCACAAAGCAAACTCGCCTGTGTTCCATTGTTGAGTTCCTGCGAGTTGCCAGAAGAGACGGTGCTTGGAGGTGTTGTCGTGGTGGTTATTCCGAGCTGTGCGGATCGTCCTACTCCTTGAAACCCGTGATGGAGTGTGGCCTCAGCGAGAAGGATGAGTGGCACAAATCCGAAGTATCGCCAAGCGCTCATTATCGCCTAAAGGAAACCAGTTTTAAATAGGCTAAGGGAGTTGCATAAAAGAAAAAAAAAATGAAAAACTATCAAACCTTAAAAAGAAATCTAGCGTTTGAGAAGTTCTAGGTAAGGGTAAGGTCAAAGCCGGTAAAGGAATAGCGCGGCTTAATCTTTTCAAGAGGTTAAACATAAAACGAAGCACGGCTTAAGGCCAAAGATTCTATAACGGAGACCACCAATAACTTTGCAGCAAAAAAGAGAAATAACAATTAGATGAAAAACTAGCAAGTAAAAGCAAGAGCCTCGTAGCTGCAAATTTGTGTTATTAATTGAAAGATCAAGGTATCTTTCCCCAAAGAAACGACTTGATTTTGGCCTGGCTAGCTTTGCTTTCCTTTTAGATGTGGCGTCAGGTGGTAGAACCTCAAAAAAAGAAATAATGAAAATTCCTTCTCAAAACTGAGCTTTATGGCTTGGGGTTACTGTACATCTGAGTTTTGTCTGAAAAGTCAGACGGACGCTTTTTGGTGTTGTTTAGGCAACAGTACATTGATAAAGTGCAGTGTAAAACAAATTTATCGACACCAACGTAAAGTTTGATATGTTTTTGTGGTTATTTCAAAAGTTTACACAAATTTTCTCGAGCACCTCGCTTTTTACATTGATTAAACTTTTTTTTTTTACATTGAGTGAAAATCATTCGACTTTATCCAGCCACGATTTCACCGTTTTTCTCTTCTCCTCCATCTCAGTGCTGAAAATCTTGTGTAAATTTATAGATACTTGTTCTTTATTATTTTAGGGGTAGGCTAATTTCCGCCATTTTATTTGCGCAACTCACCATAACTTTCTTCTAAGTTGGTCAATCTTTGTGATTTGCGGTGTCATTTTGTAGATCTTAATAAGTGCAACAAAATGACACGAAAATCATAAAGATGGATCAACTTAGAAGAAAGTTATGGCGAGTTGCGCAAATAAAATTGCCGAAATTAGCCTATCCCTTATTTTACAATCACTTTATAACTTTATGACAAGGTCAAATAGTTACCAGTAGTTAGTAATACCGATAGTAGAACCTCTTTTCGTAGCTTTTAATTAAAAAACGTGTACTCTTTTGAGTGTTTGCAGAGTTATGTACAAAAATAAGTCATGAAACTTTCAGTACACAAGTACCGTACAGATTTTAGTCTTAAAAATGATCTGAACCAGAATAGACGATAAACGGATGTTTTTGAAGTAGCGACTACACAAAGCAATAGAATTTCTATTAATGATATTGTAGCTGATACAAACTACTAACTGACTATTTATGTATTGCTTTGTAAATCATTAGTTCTCCTCAATAGACACTTGAGCTTTTGTATACCGTTGAGCTTTCGATCCAGGTAAATCGCCGGGATGGGGTGAGACTGCATCATCGCCAGTTAGGCTACGATAGGCTCCGATCGATTCGAGATCCGAGTCCATACTGAAAAATGATTCCTAATTCTTCAGATTCTATCGGATCTTGCTCATAGTCAGAACAGTATGAAACAATATGGATTTCAAGAACATGAAACATTTAGCGTATTAGCGTATAATGTGTATTAGCGTGCTCTGTTTCACTTTCAACCTCGGCATCCTCATTACGTTGTCCTGTTGAAATGTTCGAAAGAGCTTCTTGTCAACGTAGTGCCCATTTGCCTGAATGTTTACTTTTTTTGGTTTCATTTATTTTACTTACCCGAAAAACATCACTAGCCGACCGAGTTTTCCCGATTTCACCGATCAATTTATGTGTTTGACTCTTGGCAACTTTCGGTGGTTCACCAATTCCATCGAATTCGACTAAAGCTTAGGGATTGTAAAGAAGTCGACATCAACAACTATGATCTTGAAATAACTCACCTTTATCTTTTGGATCGCCAACCGACGAGTTGCTTGATTGGGTTTTCGGGGTGCTCGCCGACGTACTCTAGAAGTTTCGATGAGTAACTTGAATTTTAAAAACATTAACTATTAGCACAAGTAGAGATCCAATAGTTCTATAGACCAATTCAATATACAGTTCAATCTATGCACTACAATAGCCAGGATTACGGTAGCTTTTTGGCAAATAAATGGTGTAGCGTTTAATCACAAACACATCAGTGTTACGGTAGCTTAATGGAACCATATTGGATCTAAAAAGAACCGTATTGGAACCGTATTGGTTCTGAAAAGAACCGTATTGGAACCGTATCGGAACCGTATTGGAACCTTATTGGAACCGTATTGGATCTAAAAAGAACCGTATTGGAACCGTAGCTTTTGTTTCGCAACTTTTATCAACCCTTCAAAGATCAAAATTCAATCTTTTAGCATTTCCCACACCCACCTGACTTCCTCCCTCGAAATCCAAATGATTGTCCCTTGAGTTTTCTGCTCAACAAATCGAAATCCGAGTTGCTCTTCGTCGGCATTCCCGTGAAACCTGTAATTACGTTAATTTATAGTTTACAAGTATTTATTCATTCTCATTTAAAACAAATAACTTATGATCTTTTGCGAAAATGTTACATAAACGCACTCGTGTCCAATTAAAGGTGAATTAAAAAGGTCGGGTGATGGTAGTTTGCAAAAAGAGAAATAACAATTAGATGAAAAACTAGCAAGTAAAAGCAAGAGCCTCATAGCTGCAAATTTGTGTTATTAATTGAAAGATCAAGGTATCTTCACCCAAAAAAACGACTTGATTTTGGCCTGGCTAGCTTTGCTTTCCTTTTAGATGTGGTGTCAGGTGGTAGAAGCTCAAAAATCAGCCCTCAACACGAAATCAAAGTACTCAAAATATCATAACAAAGTAAACAAGTGTTTCTAAATTTTTAGAGTTAACTGATTTGGACCCAAGGGATTAAAAAGAATCAAATCAAAAGTTTTTTTTTGATTCAAACTAAAAATTTTCATTTCCGATTCATCGACCGACTCTAGTCTCATGATTTGAATCGGAAGTGGTGGCAAAAAAGTGATCAGTTGTTTTCCCCGTTTTTTAATCTCTATTCTTTATTTGAAAAGCTTTTCAATTAAGAGAAATTTGAATGATTTTTTTGTTTATTTCCAGGATCCCCTGGGAAAGTAATCTTGCAAAATTAGGTTTGTTTTTAGTAAGAAATTGAGGAACCAAGTTTGCAAACGGATTCTTCGCTTTTTGTTTTAAAATCCGGAAGCATATCCCACTTATTAGAACTGATTACACTGAACGCAAATTTACCTTACCATTGAACCATTACACTGAACGCAAATTTACCTTGACACTGAACCATTACACTGAACGCAAATTTACCTACAGCCCATCGATCTGTATAGTAAAACGCGTAATAGAATCTCGTAATAGAATCTCGTTTTTCTTATTGTCATTTTCTAATAATTCTTCCAATATGCAATTTTAACCTTTCATTGGTGGATCGAGCAAGACTTCACGAGCTTTTGCGTTAAAGCCTCGATGTGGTGCGATGACTGGTCGATTAATGTCATCATAAGACATTCTGTGAAATGGACACTGAAAATGAATCTATTTTTTAGCTCATAGAAAAAAAGCAAACAGCAAAGAATGGCTTGACTCACGATCGATCAAGTGTAAGACAAGTCTGCATAACTTTAAAATACGAATCTTATAGTCAGCTATAGTGAACGATTACGGTAAAGAAATGAAGCTATTCATTTAGCTATTCAGCTAGAGGCTAGAGTTTTTAGACATATATTTTCATTGTCATTCAATGTAAAATCAAATTCAAATTTGTAAGCAAACAGGTTTTGACAAAAAAGTGAAACGAAAAAAAGGGAAAAAGATGGTCTCAAGAGAGAGTCACAAAAATAGAAGATGAGCACTTTGACGTAAAGAAATCGAAAAGAAAAGAGATAAATTTATTTCATTTGAATCCCCGGGGCAACCAAAGGAGTGGAAAAATGAAGAAGTTGAGTCGAGAAAACAAAAAAAAAATCTCCACCCACAAAAATAGCTCAACTTTTCCACTTGAATAACTTTTAGGAGATAAAAATAGAGATCGAAAAGACTGACTTTGTTTGATTGGATTCGGATTTATGTGGGGGTTTTTGATGAGATTTAAAGAATTCTCAAAGAATTTTCAAAGATTTGAGCGAATTGATCGAATGACTTCGACAAAATCTAACTTTTCGTACAAGCTGATGTACTTTGTGCTCTCATTTTGTGCTCGAGAACGTCCCCTTTCTGTCACAATGATCTCTTTCGTTTTAAGAGCAATGATTTGAAGACAACAAAAGGATTCATTATTTAGAAAACAAAAAGGAACAAAATGCTTTTAAAAGAAAGCTAGAAAGGCTGCTAGAGTATGGTAGCTTTTTCGATCGGGATTATAACAGTATGGTAACTCTGAAGCTAGAAAGCTACCTGCCTGCTAGAGTATGGTAGCTTTTTCGATCGGGATTACAACAGTATGGTAACTTTTTATCAAATAAAAAGAATAGTTTCTAATCAAATTGACTGTGATTTGCCTAAGTTTTGTTTAGAAAAGAGTCAGATTTGAAAAAATTGACATAAAATCGGAGAACTAGTGACTATCAGACAAACAAAAACATTTATTCAACTCACTGGAAAAGTTTCACTAAAGTTTCTTACGAATGATTCTTGAAAGCCAGACTAAACCCTCGAAAAAGATATCTACGTAGCTGAAAAGATGGATTAGATGAAGAGGATTGAATGGGGATTAACTTTTGAATCAATCCCCCTTCTGAATCAACGTTGTTGTCATCGTTGATGAGAAGGAAATCAGGTGTTTATTTGGCGTTCGATCGATTTTTAACGTTGTCCATTTAAACTTCAAGTGTTTCCAATTGTTTCCAATTGTAAGAAAAGTCGAGTACTTTTGTTGAGGATTGCTGTAATGGTTTGTATTGCGAAGAGCACGTAAAGAGCTTAAAAAGGCAAAGATTGAGTGATTATCTAGGGTAATCTAAGCATTTACAAATGGCCCAGGGGTTGCTCTTTTTGCGAGTTGCGAAACAAAAGCTACCGTAACACTGATGTGTTTGTGATTAAAAGCTACACCATTTATTTACCAAAAAGCTACCGTAATCCTGACTAGAAAAGTTAAAAGGGTAAGCTCATTTTTTGATTGATTGATTTGAAAAGTCTAGAGTAAGGGCTTGTCAAATTGATCGTTTCATTTCCCGTTTGAATTCGCTTATCTGATTTGAGGATTTTGAATTTGATGAATTTGATGAATTTGATTAGCATTTGATTAGCATTTGTTTCCAGTGCAAAATCGCTTATTAATTGAGCAGGAAAGTGAAGAGAAATGAAAAGAAAAGTGAAGAAAAGTGAAGAGAAATGAAAAGAAATGAAGAGAAACGAAAAGAAATGAAAAGAAATAAAAAGAAAATCGAAAATCCGTGTCACACATCGATCATCGCTTATCAATGAGTGATCACTTTCACCTCAAAATTCATATCCCTAATTATGCAAAAAGAAAAAGGAAAAGAAAAAGGAAAAAAAAGGTGATTTCAAGGTGTTTATTAATTGGTTTCTGTTAAATTTCAACCATTTCACAAAGTTTTTCGTTTATTAAAAAGCATTTAACTTATGAAAAGCTTAAGTGAAAGTGGTAAAATCGGGGTTTTTTTGACAAATCGTTGGCTTAATCCGAAGCTAATTGTGGATTTGTATGTTGACAAGTATCGAAAAAAAAAACACTTCTCATAACAATGAAATATCAATATCAAGTGTATGTAGATTTTTTTTTTTGAAAAGAATTTTTGATTATAAACCCGTTTCTCGAAGAAATTTCCCTTTTTCTCAAAAAAATTTCATTCAATTTCTCATGTTCGATCAAAATCAAAGAAATGAAAGAAAATTTGGCTTTTTCGTATTTCAATTTACTTTTTGTTATTTTTAGGGAAATGAAATTGAAAATGAAATTCTTTTCTCTAAACTTTTTTGCGAACATTTTTCAACATTTTTCGGCGATCATCTCTCATTCGGATCATCGACTTTTACGAAAATTTCCTTTTTTTTAGACAATTGTTACAAATGTTCAAACATTTTTCGCAAATTTCAAACATTTTTGCGTACTTTTTACTGTTTTATTGAGAATTTTTGTGCAAATTCAATGATAAACGAAAACTATTCGAGTCATTTCGATAGCGCTGAATTTTCTCTTCGAAACTAGTACAAAGTAATGAGGAGTTTCTAAGAAACAAATAACAAAAATGCTTCAAAAACTTGAGTTGACATAAAATCGATGATCTGTAAACGATTTGTAAACGATTTGTAAACGATTTTGACGAAATTTTATTAATTCAATTATATAGAACATAGATTTAAACCATTTTATCCAATCTATTTGCTCTTAACGTTTCCATTTCAAAACAAAATAAAGGAAATTTTATCTTTTCAATAAGATTTACAGATTTACAACATTTCAAACTGTTCATTAACTCACTTTTTTAGCAAAAGAGAAAAGCGATCGTTCTCATATGAGAGAGCCGATAATGATCGGGGAAATTCCCCGCTTTTTCTTTCTTTCATTCTTTCAATGTTTACATCGTTTAACTATAAGATATTCAATTAACCAAATCCTTTTCATTTCTAAGCTCATCGAAGCCAAAAACCACCACACTTTTTTTTCACCCAAAAGAACAACGATTCACGCAAAAACACGAGTGTTCATCGTCGTCCCCTTTCACTCACTCACTCACATTCACTCGATATTTCGGTTCACTTACCCAATCCACACATCCGATCATTTTCTCTTTCATTTCATTTCACCCCAAAACAACATCTCCCACTTTCACTCACTCATATTAAATCTATATTCAGCCTAAACACCGTGAAAATTGCCCAGTAAAGAATGATCCTTAGAAAATGAATTCGAGACGCTTTCATGTTAAATATTAATTTTTGCGCGACGCCGCCTTCCAATTGACGTCGCCGCCATTTGGAGGTAGTCGTTTGGAACGCCGCGTCGTCGTTTCTTTTTCATTTTTCAAATAGTTTTTGTCAGATTGATTGAAATTATTGTTTTACGCGATAAATTTTGTGTTTCTCTTTGAAATGGGAAGAATTTCCATTTGAGAAGAAGAATGGGAAGAAAAATCAATTTCCATTTGAGAGCCGAGTGAAGAATCTGGAACTTTTCGTAGCCGGACCACAATGAAGGCCAAAACTAATTGCAAGATGATTTGGGGGAATTGAATGGAAACAACGAAAGCAAAGTTCATTTCCTGGACCACTTACAAAACTAAATTGTTGTGAGCAATTACTTTAAAAATTGCTCACATTGTTGTTAGCCGAGTAAATCTCGTCAAAAAAACAGAAAAACAGAAAGCCGAACGTTGCAAAATCACCATAAAACTCGTTTTGCATGGCTAGATTCCCTATTTTTTTTTTACAAAAGTAGTTTTTTCTCAAAAAACTGGCAATTTTACAGCTTTATTCCTTTTTTTTGCGCGTTTGAAACCCGTTTCGCGTGTTTTTGTTTTCCCGATTAGGTTGTAAAAATTTTTATTTTGAGGAGAAAAATTCGAAAAATCCCTCCGAAAAAACGTTCCACCGAAAATCGCAAAATCCCTAATAATTTTGAGGGAAAACTTTTTTGATATTGATTAGAGTTTGGGTGGATTTTAAAGACTTTTTATTTTTAAAGGGGTGCACAGCTCAAACAACGCTCAGTCAAAGCAAAGACTCTAAAACTCGGAGACCCAGGGCAATTGCTCCCTGAGACGGTGGCGCGTCTTCGTCAGAGCTTGAGATAAGGGTGATTCCTCCAAGAAAGCTCAATTTTTAAAGATTTTTAAAGATTTAAAGCCTTTAAAATCTAACTTTATTCAATTGGCTAAGCGCTAGATTCCAAAAGAAATCGATAAAAATCGATAAATTTGATTTCCTAAACAATCGAATTTAAAATGCTCAATTTCAAATCGAAAACAACTCAAAGTTAGAAGCTTTTACTATTCTCGTAAAGCCACAAAAGAAAAAGTGACGCTTTTTTAAACTAAAGCTGAAGTTGATAAGGAGTAAATTTCGTTAAACCCAAAAAAAGCCGGTAATTACTTTTTTCTACCAAATTTTATAGTGTTTCTCTCAGCCATTTCCCCTTTTCCAAACTTTACTATCCATTGTTTTGACAAGCGAAACCCACCGATGAGTATTTCCAATCTTTTCAAACACTTTAAACTCTTTTTATCAAGAATTTTTTTAGACTATTCAAACTTTACACTTAAATTTTCCACCTTTCTTATTAAAACTTTGTAAATTCCGTTCTGATTTTCTATATTTTTATAGAAAATTTTCTATATTTTCTATATTTCTATATTTTGGATTCCTCTTAAAATTTGACTCCTTTCTAATCCCATTAGATACCGGAAAAGGTCGACTGAAACAAAAATGTCAAAAAAATAGTTGAGCACTAGTCTCAAAAAGTCAAAAATGGGGAAATCGAAGTTCAGTCGGCCATTTTCGGTCTCTCGACGATTGAGCGGATATTTTTTGCAACATGATTGATAGAAAGGAAAGGGGAAAGAGAGGATTCGATAGATTGGGGAAGCATTCAAAGAGAAGTGAATGGCGATGAGAATAACATGGAAAGGGGAGAAGGATTCTGATCGGATGAACTCATCCAATAGTAAGCCTCGAATAACACTTTTAATATATTTTAATATCTCTTTTAATAGCTGCTAATAGTAAGATCTAATGCATGGAAATCAATAAGGTATCTCTAGAATCTTTTTCTAGTCTAGAATCTCTAGAGCTATGTAATTTCTCAGTAACTCCGCGTGGAAAGTGACGAATTCGTGCACCAGAGAGGTAGCGTTTCCGATTAATTAGAGCTAAGGGAAATCTTTGAAAACAAAAATAGAGATAGAGATAAAAGTGGGAGATTTTAGAGACTCTGGGAAATCGGGAAAGAGAGAAAAACGGGGGGAGAAAGTGATTGCTGTTCACTTCCCAATCCATTCTCTCAATTCCATCACACCGGCCCTAGAAAATTATCTATCTTAATGATTCTATTCTTTCTAAAGTAGTTATCTCTGTTTACTCTATCAATTTTCTATTTCACGGTACTGTATGAGTAACTCGAGTTACAGTACCCTGGAGGCGGCCGGGATCGGGAAAGGATTCAAGAGAGGAGACAAAGAAGATCAAGTTGAAAAACAAGAACAAAATTCAATATCCTTTCCCGATCACAAATTGATCACTCAATCGACAATCCCTATCAACACCTCGACTTCACAGGACAACTCGGAGACTCTCTCGGGAGTCCAAACCGTCCTCCACCTCACTCTCCCAAACGTCACCTATTTTGGTCGGTTCTTTTGTTATGCTTTGTTGCACACTGGCTTCACTAACAAAGCGCACAGTGCACTTGTGATAGTGAAAATTTACCGTAAATACTGTAATATTACCCCACCCCTCTCGTACAGTCGCGTAGTCGCAAAAATTTTTTCGTATTTTAGTATTTCATTTTTTTCAAAGCACCCGTACTTTCAAAAAATGTGTCTTTGGTATCAAAAAATAGCCCTGAATTTCAGCTATTTTTTGATATCTAAGCGAGCATTGTAGCACAAAACAGTGTCGAGAAAAACCTTGTTCAAAGCCAGACTACACAACACTCCGCACCGTCATTATCGGGATGGGGTACTATTACAGTATTTACGGTATTTAGATATGTTAGACTTTGTTAAGCTAAAGTCTAAAAGAAACTCATCAGAGTTCAATTGCTCAAAGAAATCTTTTTCTTCTAGCCTAGATCATTGATCAGATCTTAATTCAAGTACTTCTTGAAACTTGAAAAACATTAAAGCTTGATTCGAACATTCCAACAATGTGCTTCTATTGATTTCTATAGACTTTTTTATAGAACTTCTATTGATTTCTATAGCGTTCCCCATTTTACCATATTTCTGTTCTATTTTTATCAAATCTATAAACTTTTGATCTCTCTTTCTTTTATCTTTATATCTTTCGATATTCTTTATTCATTAAATCAGAAAAAAGTGGATAGATTCGATAAAAATCGAGACAATTTTACGATAAGAGAAAGAAGAAACGTTTTAGAAAACGAATTGATCGAAAAGCTTTTTTTAAAAATCATTTCAATAAACCTCAAATCTATAAGAAAATCTATCGAATTGTTGCTTTTTTTTCAAGCCGATTACCGTCTTTTTCAATCACTTACAATCAAGACAAAAAAAGAAAGAAAGAAAGAAAGAAAGAAAGAAAGAAAGAAAGAAAGAAAGCGATTTCCCTTTTGTGAGTGAAACTTGTCGTAATTGCCGAATCTCGTTTAGAAACAAAAAAAAAGACAAGGAAAAACTTGAAACCTTTGAAGAAAAATGGCAAAGAATAGGGTGATAGGGTTTTTTGTGTTCACAAAACGAATTGAATTTTCCATAAAAGTAGTGTTCACCCTTTTGTTTTCAATTAGCCGACTGAATGTTGACTGAAATTTTTGCATTTTCAAGTAATCAAGCCTCTGCCAATCCAATGAATATCAATTCAATCCCAATCTTTTCGCTAATGTTTCAACGGATTTTAGCCCAGGCTTGACTACTTCTCAAGCCTTCTCAAGCCAAAGATAGCAAAGAATGTCTTTTCCAAAGATAGCAAAGAATGTCTTTTCCAAAGAACATCTTTGTAGGAATGTCGGTGCCTCTTCCCGGACCACTTTCAACAATTCGCCGGGAGGAAACGGAAATCTCTCGAAATATCATCATTACAAAGGTTTTTCTAAGCTTTTATAGTATTGTTGATACTTTACAATTGTAGTATCTGGGATACTCTACAATTGTAGTATCTGGGATACTCTAAACTCATCACTTTACAGGTGGCCTCACCAGTGCCCAATTTCGACAAGACAATCAGACAAATTGGGGAACCGGTCACCGTCGAGATATCAAATCTACACGTAAATTCATTCAATCAATTGTAATATCTGAGGAAACTAAGCTATTTTTATTTTCCTTTCTTAAGATCAAGAGTTGAAAAATCATTTCCCAATCCGATTTCAAATGATTTCTAGTCTTGATTCACACCCTTGATTCACTTAATGTCTAATTTTTCATTGAATGCTTTGGATCGAATCGGCTACAAGACACCCAATCAATCATAGCAATGAAAGAAAAATCGAAGAGATGATTGGGGGAAATGGAACGGAGCTGCTCATTGGGAAAGGGGGAAAAAAATGATTATAACTAGGGAAATGTTGCTTTGATTTGGTTGAAAAATAAGACAGAAATATTAGGAATATCTAGAAAAACTCATCAGATATTGTTCATGATCAGTTCAATCAATTTCCAGGCCAATCACGCATCGAAGATTCACGCGGAAGCGCTCGAAGAGTCGGACTATGATCGACCGGGGGTGATTTCGCTAAATCTAAAGCTAAATCAATAAGCTTTTTTAATGAATCTAGTATTCAACGCTGATTTTGAGTCTGGTTTTTTTGGAATTTTGGAATTTTGATACCTTTTTCTAGTATGGATCAAATTCTGATGATTTTTTTTCAAAGAAAGCATTGAAATTCCCTTTTTTCAGACCTCAATGACAGGCCATTCGGATTCGCAAACTCCTCCACCACCTCCAATCCCTCCACATCGAATCCGAATACCCACTTTGCTCTATCCACTCGAGAAACACACAAAAATCGTCGAAACTCGTGAGACACAAAAGATTTACGAGGAAGAAACACCGGTAAGAGATTACAATAGATAAGAGCAATAGATAAGAAAAACCCAAAAATTCCTACACGATCTCCAGCTCAACGGGGGTATTGATTGATTTGATTTTTTTGAAAATCATTTTCCCAGCACTCTATTCACAAATTAAATATACAAATCTTACCTTTTTTTTTAGTACAATAGGAAGAATTTAGGAAGATCCAAGCATCGTTCAATCGGAGATTCGAGAGAAACCAGGGCAACCAATTTATCGGATTCCAGTTGAGATTCGACAAGTTTCTAAGGGAAATGATGACCCGATTGCCCCACCAAGAGCCAACAGAAGATCATCGGTTAATGAAAGTTTTGGTGAGGTTTAGAAAATGGTCATGGTCAGAAAATGGACTTTCAAATGAAATTCTGTAAAATCTTGCTGTATTTCTTGGAAAAGCAATCACTTTTTCCAGAAAGAAACACCTTTGAGCGATCGTCGATAAGGCGTCGATCGACACGAAGCAATCAATCAAATCATTCAATTGACAAAGGTGATTCGCCGATTGATGTTGTGATGGAGGTGGGCAAATTTGAAAATAAAAATAAAACTATAGCTTGCAATAATTGTAGACAAATTAGGTCAAAGATTTTCATTTATTTATCTCCTAATCGTACAGTTAAGATGTTTCAGGTAGCTCGTGAAGTGGCTGAACGACGCAAAACCTCGCGCAGCTCGATGGGGAAACGAAAAGAAACACATAAAGGGGAAAAGGAGTTATTTGAAGATGGGCATAAAGTGAAAAGATCAAGGAGTAGAAGTAGAGGGTGTTTTGAGGCATGGTTCGTTTCATTCTCAAATCTAATCTATTTTTTTTCTTTTAGTTGTGTGACGACAAGTGATGCAAAGACTCGAGTTCGGCCGATCGATCATTTCCCACCAGAGCTCGAGATGATCGGGTAAATGATTACCGTCTTCTCTCTAATAGTAGTGAGCCGAAAGCTTCGTCTAAACTGCTCGAAATCTCGAGAGCCGCTTATCAGAACCTATCGATGTGAGGTCGGAAAATGTAGCTGACGATGAGATCTAGTGGGGGATTTGAGTGTTGGACTTCTGGGAAAACTTGGAAACTGTAAAATTGTCATCAACTCGGCTCGCTTGGGTGCACGACTATTAGAGAGAATACGGTAGTGATTAAATTCAACAATCTTTTGTGCAATACTTTCATCTGGATATCTGCAATACTATCATCTGCAATACTATTATTTTCTTCTAAGCTTTAGCGTTACCTTTTCAGTAAACGAGACGATGAAGTGATCGAAATCGAATTCTCTACTCAACTTCCCTTTACCGGGAATACTTTCCGTTGTTCGACAGGGAAACAAAAGAAACAGTGCGTCATTGATCAAATGAAATTAAAAACTTATTATATCAAATATTTCAGTAAAGAGATCAAAGCGCACCCATTGCAGTATCAATTCGAGACCGGCTTGGAGGAGGTTTTGTTCAGAATAAAAGAGAAATTTGAAATTTTTGAAAATCTAATGATAATGATTTATTCTAATCTTCTAATGAAGCTTGTAATCTAGCTTGTAATGAAGCTTGTAATCTAGCTTGTAATCTAGCTTGTAATCTAGCTTTGTTAGTATCATGGACTCGAAAAAGAAATCAAAAAAGAAATGTTCTCGAAAGAGAGCTCAATGATTGTTTATGATTCGACTTAACCCCAAATTTCTCCTTTTTTCCCTTCTTTTCCCTTTTCTCTCAAATAAGATGACTTTACCTCAAATTTCTATCCAAAATTTGCTATTTTTCAAAAGTTTATTGTGCTTTTTTCTTTCACCTAAAAGATTTATGGATTAAGTTTCTTTAAAAATTTGTATCTAGCATGGAGAATTTTCAGATTTCCACCGTTTCAATTGGTGGCCATCCGGCAGAGGGATCGTTGAAAAGGAAAGACAACAAAGCCAGAAAATATTGGAAATCAAGTGAAAATCGAGTAAAAGAAGGGAAAATCAAAGAAAAGAAGAAGAAAAAGGATAAAGAAAAAGAGAGATCCGTCGATGTACATGTCGATTTGGTGTACGAGACAACGGTGAGTCCAGGGGGATTCAGTCATTTCTCATGAAAGTTCGGTTCTGATTTGGTTCTGATTTGGTTCGGCTTTGGTTCTGATTCGGTTCCGATTAGGTTTCGATTTGGTTCTGATTTGGCTCCGCTTTGGTTCTGATGCAGTTTCGATCCGGTTCCGATATGTTTCCAATTCGATTCCGATTTGGTTCTGATTTGGTTCTGATTTGGTTCTGATTCGGTTCTGATTTGTTTCCCATTTGGTTACGCTTCGGTTCTGATGCGGTTTCGATTCGGTTCCGATTTGGTTCTGATTTAGCTCCGATTTGGTTCTGATTTGGTTCTGATTTAGCTCCAATTTGGTTCTGATTTGGTTCTGATTTGGTTCCGATTTGTTTCCGATTCGATTCCGATTCGATTCCGCTTCGGTTTCGAGTCGGTTCCGATTTGGTGTATGAGACAACGATGAGTCGAGGGGATTGCTCAGTGATTTCTCATGAAATTTCGGCCTAAAATTTCGCTTTCAATAATTTTGCTTATTCAGGGTTTCACCGAGATCACCCTGAACCCGATCGATTCCCGAGTGATCCCAAAGCCAAACGCTCCAGCCATTTTGCACATTCCCGGTTTGGTGAGTCGAAATTTTTAAAGCTTTTGAATTTCTTGTGAATTTCAAATGTTATTTAGATTCATTTTTAAAATATTTTTCAAAATTTTAATAATTTTTACATGCTTCTTCATTGAAAGTTTTGAAAAACGAGTTTTTGAAATTCCGTCAACCATATCAAATCCCCGAGTGATCCCTCTTTTTCGCGAAAATAAAAAAACCGAATTTTTTTTTCCTACAAAACATTTAACCAAATTATTAGCTGAAATTTTAAAGGTTTTTTTCTTTTTTTTTCTTTTTCTTTTTGAATTAAGCGATAATGAGATGAAATTTATCTATTTTGATGGAAAAAGGAGAAAAATCTTTTGACTTTTTTTACTTTCAAAAGAAAGTCAATCATTTTCTCCTAATCAATATCTGCTTAAAGTCTTTTTTTCTTAAGAAAACTGATTGTTATTGAAATGTTGAAGTTTTTATAGATTCTTGATCGTTTATGATTTGTTCTTTGTTTCAATTCAATGAACTTTGTTCTTTTCTCTCTCTCTCTCTCTCTCTCCCTCTTTCTTTCTTTCTTTTTTTTCTTTTTTCTTTCTCTTCTTTCTTTCTTTCTTTCTTTTTTTTCTTTCTTTCTTTCTTTCTTTCTTTCTTTCTTTCTTTCTTTCTTTCTTTCTTTCTTTCTTTTATTCTTCAATAATTTGTCTACTGTAGTCAAGTTTGTCTAACAAAATCTCAAAAAAAGAAAAAAAAAAACAGTTTTATCTATAAAAGCGCATAAATCCATATGGAAAAAAACTTGTAAAAATCCCCGAATAATGGTGCTTTTTGTTGGGATTTGATTTGGGTATAAAAGTGACAATGATTCTCTCCTGTAGATCTGTATTTCATTTAGTTGGCTCTATTGTCTTGCTGTAATCTCTTCATTCTAGTATTTTTCCTTTATTACGCTCTATCCTAGTCGTTGATTTAGCTGTCTAGAAGTCTAGAACTACTTCTAATCTTTAATATTTCGAGAAATACACTAGAACTACAGCAATCTTTCATCGATTCGCTAAAAGCAAAGAAATCTAGAAATCTTTCAAAAAAAGTCCAATTTTCTATCATCATCGAACTACCATATTCACTCGTTTAAAGCTAAAAGCAGTCAAACAACTGTACTACTGTAACCCATTGACAGGCAAACTACTTTAATCCATTGACAGGCAAACTACTTTAATCCATTGACAGGCAAACTACTTTAATCCATTGACAGGCAAACTACTGCAACCCATTGACAGGCAAACTACTTTAATCCATTGACTTGAATTCCTAAAAAGCAAGCACCCATTGTGGACTACCAAATGTTTCCTTTCCCCTACCGAATGCCCAAAGATTGTTCCACTGAATTCCTCGTTTCTTTTCGTAATCGTCCCCGTTCTCTCTATTTATCCTTTCGCAAAAAGGAAACCCAGAAATTCGAGAAAAAAAGACAATTTTTCTGAATCTGATTTATCCGCCGATGAATTCAAACCACTTTTGGTGGAAAAACATGAAGAGAATCCCAAAGAAAAGGTGTTTTTATCTAATAATATCTTGATACTCTCAATCTTTCTAGTCTTCTTCTTGAGTTACGAGTTTAATATGTCATTTATGTGATGCTCACCTCTTACCATTCTTGAATTTCAGTTAGATCTTCACAAAGAGGGTCTGGAGGCGTCATTGACCGTCCCCACCGTGGGACAAGTGCTCGAAGAGGTGAGGAAAAGAAAAGGAAACGTTAAGAAAAGTTTTTCAAATCTAAACAAGATATGTAAAGCGTTAATCAAGTAATGCAAAGGAAGAGAAACAACATATTGATCTCTCTCTGAAACAAAGAAAGAAAGAAAACAATTCTAGCATATACAGGGTGCGGCATAAGTATGGTTTTTTTAGTATTTTATAGATTTAGAACCGTGCATCGTAATGAAATATAAACGGATTCATGTAAACTTTATTTAAAATTAACAACAGTAATCATATTCATTTTAAAAAAATAACAAATTATTCAATATGAGCACCTTTATTCTTGATAACGGCTTTAAGACGCTTTGGATAACTTTGGATAACTTTGGATAACTTTCCACGGCGGCCCACGGCGGCCGGTGCTTTATGAAATTTCCGCCCAGGCTTTCTTCAGAGCCTTTTTCAGACTTTTCAACGTTTGCATGTTTTGTTGTGCATGCTTTTTGCTCCAAAATTGCCCAAACACAGAAATCCATAACATTGAGATCGAGCGAATTAGCTGGTCATTCATTGGCGGGAATGAAGTCGGGCAAATTGTTTCGAATATAAAGCTACTTAATATAAAAAAAAAAGCATTCAAATTAAGGCAAAATCCTTTGGCAAGAAATAAAAATCAATCAGTTTCTTAAATCAATGTTACAACCTTGTAACCATACTTATCCCGCACCCTGTAAAACACTGAACGAATCAGAACCAAATCAAAACCAAACCAGAACCAAACCAGAACCAACTTCTCAATATTTATTGTATCTTTTAGTGTTAAATAGGTAAGTATTTAAAGATCATGTTGAAGGGTCCCAAAAAGGGAAGGGTCTGTGGTCGACCCCGTCCGATCTGCCAAGTTGAGCAGCGTCGGCGCGGGTTAGTCGTGGGTTCGACTCCCATGGGTTCCCCTCCGAGCGCCCCAGCCCGGCCATCGGAGTATCATCGGCTACGACAACTACACTTCTGCCTCAGTAAATGTGGAAGCGGGTTGTGATCTGCGCTAAGTGCGAAGACAGATCAAATCATTATTTTATTTATTTAGATCATGTTGAAAATTCTTTTTTTTACTATTCATATTGTATTATTTCAATATCTATAGTTAGCGATTCTCTTCAATTTTCTACTCAATCACATTCATATATGCAAGAGAAAAGAAGGGAGGAAAAAAGCCGGTTTTTGCTCAAAAAGAAGAGAGAAATTTTGGTGTGAACGAAAAAAGAACAACAGAACAAGAGAACAAGACAAAAAGAAGAGATTAGCATAGAATAGTTGGGGAAAAAAAGACGAAAATTTGACTTGTTCACTAAAAATTTTATGAAATTTTTTTAAACGAAACGAAACGAGCGAATTTATAGCCTTTTTTTTCTCTCTAGTTATATACTTTCTTTTACTCCAAAATCCTCAATAATTATCCCCTTTTTGAGTCTTTTCTGCACGAGTCGAGTGAGTTTTATTTGAATTTAGCATATAGCAAATTTTGATTACCATAAAAACATACCGTAAATACTGTAATACCCCGTCCCCCTCGTACAGTCGCGTAGTCGCAAAAGTTTTTTAGTATTTCATTTTTTTCCAAAGCACCCGTACTTTCAAAAAATGCGTCTTTGGTATCAAAAAAATAGCCCTGAATTTCAGCTATTTTTTGATATCTAAGCGAGCATTGTAGCATAAACCAGTGTCGAGAAAAACCTCGTTCAAGGCTAGACTACGCAACACTCCGCACCGTCATTATCGAAATGGGGTACTATTACAGTATTTACGGTAGTTACTTAATGTTTAGAGTATGTAAAAAGTATAGAGCTACAGTTAAATTACAATTGCGAATAATTAAAAACAAGCTGTTTCTTTTCAGGGCGATCTTGAGTCAACCTCATCGCCGGAATCGTTGACTCGCACAAGAGATGTTATCGATAGAAGAATAGAGAAAATTGCGGATAGAGGATTGGAGACAAGCAGAGATAGTGATGACACAGCTGCACAACTATTCGCTCATCATCAATTTGAGGGTTGGTGCAAGAGACTCTCCATCAAAGTCTTCTTTAAATTTGATTTTAAATCAACTCTAGAGATATTTAAAGCTTTTCTTAAAGATTTCTATCTAGATTTCTGAGATTAACATTTATTTAGCAGTTACATTCAGGCGATATTGGCAAAGAGATAGAGGAGAGGGCTAGAACGAGTGTGTCCGATGTTCCACCAGTTGAGATCACTGATGAAATGATCGACAAGATCTTTTCTGGGATTAACGATTCAACAGTAATTGTTTATATAATGAAAGATCAGATGATCAGATGAAAGAGCAAAGGATAAACGAAAGACAAACCAGTTTCAGGATGATTCCTCGATGAGTCCTTTCTCGACTCTTCCCCGTTTACACGCTGATCGTAGTGGTCATTCGACGATGAGTGTCGATGCGAGAGTGAGGACACAGGTAAAGAAAAGCTTCACACAACTGGTTAACATAATAATAGTATAATAATCTAATCGTTTAGCCGGGTGCGATCACGGTCGAGTTAAACTTTAAGCGACCAATTGACGATGATCCCACAATTCACGAGCCTTTTCAAAGAGATCGATCCGGAAGTGTAAGATTTAAAGAACTAAGATTTAAAGAACTAAGAACTAAGAACTAAGGACTAAGAGCTAAGAACTAAGAACTAAGAGCTAAGAACGAAGAACTGCGAACTGCGAACTGTGAACTGCGAACTGCGAACTGCTTAACAAATAGCTTAATTAATGCTTAACACATAGCTTTGATGGTGTCGGGTTATCGCTTTCAGATGTTCGAGAAATCAACAGAAAAGCCACCAATGAAACCCCGTCGATCATTCAAGCATGTCTTCCAAAAAGTCGACTTTCAGTTGGAAAATGATAAGAATAGAGAAATGTCTCAATCACCACCACCAAAACCGAAACGAGGGAAAATGAAGCAGGGAAAAGAAACGGTAGATTCAATTCCACAAATCGTTTCCTCAAACCTTTTCGATCATACACTAAATTTCAATAAACAAATCTAGGAAAGGTAAATTTAGTTGAAAATTAACATTCTAACTAGAAAAGCTTTCTATATTGCACGAAAATTTTGTCCAGAATATTGCCTCAACTCCACCAAAAAAGGCACAACGACGATCATTCCGAGATCTCTTCAAGGTCGGCTTTTTTAATAAAACTTCCAATTTTGTGTGCTTTATATTTGTGTACTTCGAATTTTGTCTGCTTTAACTAATCAACCTTTAATAAACTAGTAAACTTATTTGTATTTTCATAAGATTCCATTCATTTTAGACCTTTACGAGACCTTTACCATTCATTTTAGACCTTTACAAGACCTTTACCATTCATTTTAGACCTTTACAAGACCTTTACCATTCATTTTAGAGCTTTACCAGAAGTGATAGAGAACATGAAGAGTCACGTGTCTCGACGGATAGCATGGTTCAAGGTGAGTAAGTATATAAAATCAATATCACTTTTACTTTTCCCTAGATTCAGGTTCGATCACTGACTCGGGCACAATGATCAACATAAAGCCAACAATAAAGAAAAGAGATTCTCAAAAAGATGGCTTCCGAAGTCCGATTGTTGAGGCTCGAAAAACATACAAGGTAAGATAAGCTGAACAGCTAAAAAACGAACATAAGAACATTCAGATAATCGGTGTTTCGACAACAGAAAGAGAGGCGATTCCCGTTGAGCAGATCTCCCTTGTCGCATCGATCACCGCTCCACCGTTAAAGCAACAAACACGGTTGATCATTTAACATTTCATATTGACAACTTTATCTTTAGAACTTCTCAATAAAGTTACCTTTTTTTAGAGTTGAAGAGATTGAAGAAGAGGAGTTCAAATTGGCTGAGCTTGCCGGAGAGATTCAGAAGTAATTGTCAAAGAAAAAATGAAATTTCAAATCAAATCAATTCAGCAATGATGAAAGAGGCGATATGATGATGGAAAGAAGAAGAGAGGAATCATTTTCTGAATTCGACATTGAACGGGTGACTAGCGGGATTTGTGTGATCACTGGTTTGTCCATAAAAGCTTTGTCTCTTCAAAGAGTGATACGTGAATAAAAACTTTCAGTGAATGGTGAAATTAAAAATTAATTCACCTTTCAGGTGAATCACCACCTACAGGCACTCAATGTGAATGTGTTTCGTGTGTTGCCGTTCGTCATTTCATTGTTGACTTAAAGAAAGAGGAGAAAGGGTAATAGGGGATTCTGATTCTAAGAAACAAAGAAAATGTCTACTTGTTTAGTTACGAGCAAGTGTTGGAGATCTCTGAAAAGTTGAAGCATTTTGGTGAAGAAAAAGAGATAACGAAACGATTTGATGAGATAAAAATCGAGAAAACCGAAGCAGTGGACATTGATTTAAATGAGGTGATTTGAGTTTAGCTTTCAATTTTTAAAGAAAATTCAAGATTTTCACAAATTCACAAGCATCAACAAAGCATCACGATCCAGTCGATGCTTTCCTTGAAAGGAGTCGATCAGAGGCTATTCAAAGAAAAACATTTAGTCCAATACAACGCTCGGCGACAGAGTTGAAGAAACCCGTTGATCCATCGGTAATATAATTATAATCAAATCAATAATATAACCGTAATCGAATCAGTAATATAACTGTAATCAAATCAGTAATATAACTGTAATCAAATCAGTAATATCACTGTAATCAAATCAGTAATATAACCGTAATCAAATCAGTAGTATAACCGTAATCAAATCAGTAATATAACTGTAATCAAATCAGTAATATAACTGTAATCAAATCAGTAGTATAACCGTAATCAAATCAGTAATATAACCGTAATCAAATCTGTAATATAACTGTAACCAAATCTGTAATATAACTGTTATCAAATCAGTAATATAACTGTAATTAAATCAGTAATATAACTGTAATCAAATCAGTAGTATAACCGTAATCAAATCAGTAATATAACTGTAATCAAATTTCAATCTCTTTCAGTTCTTTGACTCGGTGATTGATATGGACGAGATTTTCCATCCGAAACCGCATAAAGTCGATAACGAGAAGAGCAAAGAGAATTTAGTTTGGAGATTTTGAACTTTTAAACTTTTGAACTTTTTCAAAAACATTTTAAGACTGGATTTAAAAAAAAACAAAGTTTAGAGACTAAACGAAATTGAGATTAAAGACGAGAATGCTGAAGAGTATGCTGCTGAGCTGATTGAGAGGGTAAATGAGATGATGAATCATTTAAAAAAGCTTTATTTATCTATCTACAATCTTTGAATTTCATTTTTGATCTTTCTAGGTCTTCTCGCAAGTTGGCTTTCATTGCACAAAAGACGAGGAAAACAAGGAATGTGAATGCACGGCGTGCCGAGATTCAAAGCTTTCCGTTGAGGAGATCATCAAGAAACAGGTTGGATGTGCAATCTTTAACTCGATTTACATCTAGAATATCTTTAACATTCAGAATTCAGGAAGAGTTTGCGTCGAGACGCTCTCAATCATCCGTTACCTCGCCCCAGCCAAAGCAAACACCGAAAGCCACGCTGAACATCGACTTGGACGAGGTTTTCTCCCGTGGGTTTTTCGAGTTTAATAGATTAAACCATAAACTGTTATCAGATAATTATCAGATAATTTTCAGATAATTATGAGATAATTTCAGCCACTCGAACCCCGGTCCTCTCACCGCAACCCATCGATCAACGCGAGAAGTTCTTGAGTGTCGACAATGATGTGCGTTTTTCTCTGACCTAGTCGATTATATCTTGAAATCAGTGAACCTAGTTGCTTTATCTTATCTTAGTTTCTCTTTCTCTTAGTTCAACGAGAAATAAGTAATCAAATAAGCATAAAGTAAACTGTTTTTGCTACAGACTTTAGTTAGGGGATTTAGCATAGTTGGCCAGAGGTAAAAATGATTTTCAGACTCGAAAGGGTGCTCTTTCGGTGGCTGAGACGATTACTGATGAAGTGTTTGATGAGTTGGGACCGCCGACAAGGGGAGAGAGCAGGGTGGATGAGGTGGAACCGATCGGGGATCAGGTAGGTCAAAGAAAAGGAAAGGAAATGAATAAAATGAAAAGAAGAACTGAAGAAAAGATAAAGGAAAAGAAAAGGAAAGAAAAGAAATGAATAAAATGAAAAGAAGACTAGATAAACGAAAAGATCAAACGGTTAAAAACCCTATAGTCAATATCGATAGGTTCTATTTGATTTCGATTTCTTCTCTTTAATCTGAAGACTTATGCAATACGTTGAAGAGCTGGTATTTGTATTTAAGAAGATCTAAAACCTTGAAATCTAATATCCAATTGAATTTTATACGAATTTTCCAGCCCGATCCCAACAAGAATCCGTACTCTTTTGTTTGGGATCTTGTCAAAGAAGATGATCCCAAATTTCGGGAACGATTGGCAAAGATACGAGAACAGAAGTAAGACCGTAAGACAAAAATAGACGTAAGACAATCGATTCTAACTCTACCATCAATCTTTAAACAAACAAATGAATCATTTGTCAGAAACTCCGAATCACCAACCAACACTCAACAACCATTCCGGCAAACCCATTCAAGAAATGAGATAATCTCGTTGAGGGATTTGATGAAAGAGGTCCCTTTCTATTTCTATTTCTATTTCCTACAAGATATTAATGTAATTATTGTATTATAGTACAAATGTATTAACTTCAGAAGCTTACAATCCATTCAGGTGGAAGCCGAACAACTACAGCACGCTCAAATGGACCTCGACTTCATCGCGAACATTGTCGAGATCCGAAAAGAAACCGAGAGATTGATTGAGAAAACCGATGAAAGGATTATGGCTGAAGATTCGGATGAACAGTCATCAAAGGTTATGCTTACCGTAGAGAAGTCAGAAATCGATTTGGATGAGGTTTTTCGATCTCCAATTACCTCACCAGTGAGCCCTAGTCAAATGTCGATTCTGGAAAAGATCGAGAAGTTCAACAATCAGCCGGTAGTCGCTGAAAAGTCACCAAAGATTGTGGCTGTTAAAACAATGCCCCGGAAATCTACCGTACCATTAACTGATCGAGTTTCGATTGATTTGGATGTGATTTTCCAAGAGAAATCGGTAAAACTGGATTCAGGAAATGAAGGAAATGTTGAAGTTGAAGGAAATGAAGAGATGCCAACTACAGAGCCAAGTACAGAGCCAACTACAGAGCCAACTACAGAGCCAACTACAGAGCCAACTACAGAGCCAACTACAGAGCCCATTAAAGTACCAACTCCAACTTCATCAGATAAACAAAAAGCTAAGCCTGAAGAAATTACAACTGCTTCATTGGATTCTGGCTTTGATTTCCATGCATTGATCTCGAGTCCACAACTAGAAACGATCAAAGAAGATGAGGAAAGGAAATTGGGCACAGAAACAAGTACAGTTTCTACTACAGCATCAGTCTCAGAAAGCTCACAGAAACCAAAAGAGAAACCTAGAGAAATTTCAGTTGCTTCATCTGATGCTGGCTATGATTTCCATGCGATGATCTCAAGTCCACAACCGGAGAAAATAAAAGATCACAAAGTGATGATGGAAAGTGACTCGACCATCGTACCAGTTACACTAATTCCAACTACTCAAGAAGCACCAAAGCACACCGAGTCTACCAGCACTTACGATTTTCATTCATTGGTTTCTTCACCCGTTTTCAATCAATCAGACAAAGAAATTGATGTAGAGAATGTTGAAAGAATGACAACCACGACATGGTCTGATGCTAGACAAGAAATGCATGAGATTTCGAATCAAACGAAGAGAAAATCTGTTGAAGTTGAGAAAGCGAATGATGGATTTGATTTTCATACTTTGATCTCAAGTTCGACACCAAAATCGGTCAAAGAACAGAGTCACGTGGAAGTTGCTGAGACTTTCACTAGAACCACTTGGTCCGACGAGAAGCAACAAGTAAATGAGATTCCAACTCAGCGATCTGAAAGCTACGATTTTCACTCATTGGTCTCGAGTCCGATTCCAACAATTGTGAGAGAAGAAGTTCATAGAGTTGAGACAATAACACAAAGCTCATGGTCTGATGCGAGACAAGAGGTGCATGAGATTCCGACTCCAACTCCAAGAAAGCCCGTTGAAGTTGAGGACGGATTTGATTTCCATGCTTTGATCTCAAGTCCTCATCCAAAACCTGTCAAAGAACCGGAACAGATTCATGTTGAAATCGTTGAAACCTTTACAAAGACAACTTGGTCTGACGAGAAACAGGAATCACATGAGATACCAACAAAGAGATCCGATACTGATCACATTTCAAAGAGTGATCATGGCTTTGATTTTCATGCTTTAATCTCAACTCCGATACCAGAATCAAGTAAAGAACCGGAACAAACACATAGAGAGATCACTGAGACGATCACAAGAACAACAGACGTAAAACAAGAGACGCATCAGATACAAACTCCAACAAAGAGAAAGTCTGTTGATGTTGAGCCGGTCACTAAACCAGAGGAAAGCTTCGATTTCCAAGCATTGATCTCGAGTCCTCATCTAGCACCTAAACCCAAACAGATTCAAGCTGATATTGCTGAAACCGTGACAAGTACGACTACTGAAGGTGTTGATGAAAACACACTTGCACCTGGTGAAAGAAAAAGTCTCGACTTGGATTTAGTCTTCAACTCGCCGATCCCACTTCTACAGGAGACAAGGCCGAACATTTTGGATAAGGTGAATCAGCTATGGTTATCGTTGAATATTGTTTTCAGCTTGCCAACACGTTGGAACGACCCGTTTCACGACCATCCACGAGAACGCAAGTCACTCCAGAGCCAAGGGCAAGATCGGTAAAGCCTTTTACGGGATATTTGTATTTGGAATTTAAAGTGATCTTAAACTTAAAGTATTTTAAATGATTAGCAGCTAGACCTAATCTAAACCAAATTTCTAAGTCAGGAAAAAGTCAAGCTTCAAGGGTTAGGGTAGAGTCCTGGTTCTGATCCTGATCCTGACCCTTGGTCAGGCTTGGTCTGACTAGCCCTGGTCTTGATTACAGTAATCTTTTCTAGGTGGCCAGCCTTCCACCCAGTGAAATCTCATTGGATGAGATCTTCAGCCGACCATCAACAAGTGCTGAAAGTGAAAAGGTTAAATAACTTTGAATTGAATTAATTAAAAAGAAATTTAGATTATTCTAAGAAGTAAAAAGATTTCAATGACAAGAGAACCGATCGAATTAGACTATGGAGGTTCAATGAAAGGAAAGGAGGCTGCAAGGGAGAGTTTGGATTTGGATTTAGTCTTCAACTCACCCACCCCACTCCTACAAGAGACAAGACCGGATATTCTGGAAAAGGTTAGTAGGCTTTTCTAGTTAGGCTTTTCTTTATAAATAAACACTAATCTAAGGGAGTAATTGTGTCAAAATTTAAGTTTAATCGCCCAATCGAACGATCGATTTCCCGTCCTGTGACAAGAACAATGTTTTCCCCGGAACCACCAAGAGCCAGATCCGTAGCCAGTCTTCCACCAAGTGACATCAATTTGGACGAGATTTTTAACCCAAAAAAACAAAGTGTTTTACAAGAAACCGCTTCAAGCACAAGTCAAGACATTCCACAGGTAATTTATTGGATAGAATTTCCTTTAAAGTACAGTGGTCCACAAATGTATTGTCCCATTGCCATCCAAAAGTTTCTTTCGTACGAAAATCTTGCAAAATAACGATATTACCAAAAAGTGTAGGGTATTTTGCTTACTCTACTCTACTTTATACTCTACTTTTCAGGATTATAAGATTTATCCGTATACATTGCAGAAAAATTAAAGTATAAAACAAAAACATTGCAAGATTTTCGTACGAAAGAAACTTTTAGATGGCAATGGGACAATACATTTGTGGACCACTGTATCATACAAGTAGTGGTATGATTCAAAAAAAAAAAACTTCTCAACTTTATCATATCATATAGAGGAGGAAAATTCTAGGTGATCACTGAATCGATGATCGTCGATGGGGACACATTACCTTTTGGTGAGCCACAAAATGGAGAATTAACGAAAATCGCTGAACTGCGCATCGCAATTTCACCAGATTTTCACGAGATTCAAGAGCTTGAGCAGCAAAAAACAGAAATCGATTTTGATCAAATCTTTGCCGGGATTCGTACTGCGGGACAAGACGAAAGGGTAGACGAGAAGATAGACGAGAAGATAGACGAGAAGATAGACGAGAAGATAGACGAGGAGATAGACGAGAAGATAGACGAAAAGTATACACTAAAAAGAAGCTCTGTTACCGTATTCACCACTCCAAGCTGGGGAAAAAGCATTGAAGAGCGAAAGAGTACGGTCGAGAATCCATCCAATATCGATTTCGATGAGATTTTCAATGAGAAAAAGACAATTTTTGATGAAACTACGGTAAATGAGACGACAAAAACATTCGCTGTTTACACGCGAATAAAAGATGATTCGAGCAATGAGCATTTGATTGAATCAAAGCAATATTTTGTGGAAGATGTGCATCGAATTCCGGCTGATGATGTCATTCTGAGGAAACAATCGTTTAATCTCCCACGGATTAGTGAAGAAAAAGAAAGGTGAGTTATTTTTTAAAAGGTTGAAAAGAAAACTACCGTTATTTGAAAGCTTTTGAAGCTTGAAGAGTAGGCACTTTTGAAGCTAAAGTTAAAGCTAAAGTTAAAGCTAAAGAGCTAGTTAAAGCTAGTTAAAGCTTAAGTTAAAGTTAAAGCTAAAGAGCTAGTTAAAGCTAAAGTTAAAGCTAAGGTAAAGCTAAAGTTAAAGCTAAAGTAAAGCTAAAGAGCTAGTTAAAGCTAGTTAAAGCTTAAGTTAAAGTTAAAGCTAAAGAGCTAGTTAAAGCTAGTTAAAGCTAGTTAAAGCTAAAGTTCAAGCTAGTTAAAGCTAAAGTTCAAGCTAGTTAAAGCTAGTTAAAGCTAAAGTTCAAGCTAGTTAAAGCTTTCAAAACTTGCTTCACTCGATTTTACATTAACTTCAACAGTTGGTAGGCTAGAGAACAAGAAAATGAGTTTGATCATTTTGAGATTGATTTGTAATTGATTTGAGATTGATTTGAGATTGATTTGTAATAGATTTGAATTTATTCTTCAACTCGCCGATCCTTTAAAATTGAAAAGCTGATTTGTTTTCTTTTAGCTTCTCATCCCTTACCACATCGACCACATTTTGGCATCATCCGATAGAGATTTCTCCGAAGAAACAAACAAATGAGGAAACATTCACCTCACATCTCACAAAGGTTTCACAATGTTTTCAGTTTTGTCAAAGTTCACAAAGTTTTGTCACTAAATTTTCTATCATCAACAATTATTGAGTTAATGTGTTTGAAAAAATATAAACTCTAACTATTGGGTTGGGGAGAATGAGTCGGCGCCAAACTTTAAAGGGACTTTTTGCACACATAAAGCCTTCTTTAAACATACGTTTGGTTTGATCAAAAGGATCCACTATTTCTCTACAAAATGACTTTTGAGAGATTCCACAAAGCTTTCCTTTCGTGGAGTTTATGAACTTCCAAACGCAGCTGGTTAAAATGGCAAAGAGTCCGACTCATCATTTGAACAGTTTCTTTCACATAAACCTTCTTTGGTGTTTATATAAAAAAGATAGAGCACATTCAATTACTTAAGTTGCCAAATTTGCAGGAAGATCCCACCAATGGTTTTTTCTAGATCACAGTTTGTAGTTTTTGTGAAAAAATGGCTTTTTCTTGAGCGGAGGCGCTGTTTGAATTTTCTTTTAAATGTCATTTTGTAGAGAATTAGTTAACCATTCTACTCATATCAAACGCATATTATTTGACGAAGTCGAATAGAAGTTTTAGACATTTTTTTCATTTTCGGCGCCGACTCATTCTCCCCAACCCAATGCAAAAACCATTAGAGAAAAGTTGAAACGAGTTTTAAGAACAATAAAGCAAAGCAAAAGGCTAATTTCTTTCGAAATGCATAAGCAAACTGCCTGGCGCACTGAATTCTTTCATTTTCTCACACACAAGAACACAACGGTTTATCGGTTTAGTCCATTTGCATCTATAGGGTTGCCTATGCAACAGATCGTAGTCAGCTTTACAATCAATCAGATTCTTGTGCATTGCACAAGTAAATCTAGACGATTTGTGGACTGGGAGAGTCCTTTAACGTGGCTTAATTCACTTGAAAGAATTTCCGTCAGTAAATCTAGACGATCTGTGGACTGGGAGAGTCTGCTAACATGCTTAATTCACTTGAAAGAATATCCGTAAGAAAAACTAGACGATCTGTGGACTGGGAGAGTCCGTTAACGTGGCTTAATTCACTTGAAAGAATTTCCGTAAGCAATTCTCACAAATGTAAACCTTTTTTCTAAAAAGTGAAAACCGGTTTCCCCAGAAAAAGTAGGGTTATTATTTTGTGAAAATAATGGGAACGTTGGGGAACACAATGGCTTATTTTCACCGTAAAAAAAAAAATCGATTTCTCTCTAAACTTTCCTATCAAATAGCTATTACTAGAATCATTAAGCTTATAAAATAACCAAAATAGTCAGATGTTACGCTTATAAAATGACCAAATTCTCTATTTATTATTCAAATACTTAAGCTTTTCTAATAGCTTATTTCGTTTTCGTTTTAAACCAGCACTCTGTACTCTACCTGCGTTGTTGTTTACTATAAATAAAGCAGAAGAGACGTCTGTTCGTCTGTCTTTGCACAGCTATTGACAAAAAGGAACAGGGATTTAGATGGCGTGAAAAACGCGAACGTTAGTGAGCGCTGATAAAAAAAAATATGCCAGAAAGTGGTGTTTGCAAAAAAACTTTTTTGAGAGCACAAAGCACACCGTAAACCAAATGAGCGTATAAGTTCATTTTCAACATAATAATTATTATTTATACTGAAATGATAATAATTCGTTTTCCAGGAAAGTCCAATGATTGAATCAGTGATCAGTTATGGATCGCCAACTAGCCTTTCACATTTCATTCATCAACCCGTTGACGAGACACCGATTTATCGAGAGATTCAAGTGAGCTTGGGAAAATTCGTTTCAATTTCTCTTAAGATCTTCAATTAATGAGTAGATATTTCGAATTATTTGTTTCTTTTAGTCGAACGATCAACCAAATCGAGTAACATCATCAGCGTCAGTGTACTTGAATGAAAGACAAGGAAAACAAGAAGAAGAACAACAACAACAACAAGAAGAACAACGAGAAGTCATTGATATCATTAAAGTAGGATTGATTTTTGAAAAATATGAATATAAAAGCGTATTTTATCTAACTTATATCGGAAAACTGGTAATTTAAAGTAAAGTATGACCTTCAGCTCGTTTTCTCACCGAGTCCATTGCAACAAGAACAACGAGAACAACAAGAACAACAAGTACAACGAGAACAGCAAGAACAACGAGAACAGCAAGAACAACGAGAACAACAAGTACAACAGGTAATCCCAAAAAAAGCTTTCTAATACAAAAAAAAGCTTATCATGATTAAGATTTAAATGTTTTTTTAAGCCTTATTACAAGTGATCCAACAGTTCTTAAACTTTTAGAGTCTTAAACAATCGCCGATCACTCCGATCCCGCATCACCAACCTGATAAAGCATCCACATCGACAGGGTTTGTTCAAAATAACTAATAAACTAATATTATAGAAATTTAAAAAAACTATAAAGCTATAAAATAATACATTTTTTAGCATTTATCCACAATAAAAAGCTTTTCAGGAACTTTTCTCCAGTGCCAAGTCCTCGAGTGAGCGAAAAGAGAGGCTCATTGACAGCGGCTGAGTTAGTTCAACAGGTAGGCAAAGCAACAGGCAAAGCAACAGGCAAAGCAACAGGCAAAGCAACAGGCAAAGCAACAGGCAAAGCAACAGGCAAAGCAACAGCAATATTACGCTAGAAAATCTAGACAAAAATCTAGATAATGCCTAGAATAGAATATCTTATTTTAAATTAAAGCAAAAGTAAATCTCTTCTAGTCGAGTTTTTGTGGGTTTCGGTGGTGGCAAAAGGATTACTACGATAAACAAAACAAATAAAACATTAATCCAATAAAAGCGCTAGATATTTAGATAAAATTCTATATAAACTAATATTTTTTTTCTGTTATTTTGGCTTTGTTGATGAAATTTGTAAACACTGTGCACTCAAAAGAGGATGCAAGCTTTGATGAAAAAGGCTCCATTTCCGGGGTCATTTTTGATAACAAATTTTTGGCTTAAAGAATTAGATTAAACATCAAAAGCTTTTTAAGAACTTTTCCCTAACACTTTACTTGTTTCACTCACATTTTTTTTTCGTGTTTCTTTCAGCTGGCGACAGCGATGAGTGGGCAAAAAATCGAGGTTATCAACGAGGTTTGAATGGGGATTACGTTAGATTTTCTAAAAATTATATCTATATCTATAAGTCATTTACTATCGATAATGATACAAATGATAAATGAAACGAAAAAAATTCGACTTTATTCGACGAAAATCCCACTGTGAAGCACTGTGTCCAATGGTGTCTGTCTAACTTTATGTGTTTGAGCTTGATGACATTGATATATTCTTTATCGAATTAATATTCTATATCGAATTCTATATTCTATATCGAATTAATATTCTATATATAAAACTAATTGTAAGTCAAGTATAATTAGATAGTTAACAAGTTTAAACATTCAAATGACAATTTTGACAAAAGTTCTTCAACTTTTCAGATTCGTGATAATGAACTCTTAGAGGTTGGGGTGGATGATAGCTATTTTATTGTAAATTTTCTATTTTCTTTAGATTTTCTAAAAATCTATCTATATCTATAAGTCATTTACTATCGATAATGATACAAATGATAGATGAAACGAGAAATTTCTACTTTAAATTCGAAAATCCCACTGTGAAGCACTGTGTCCAATGGTGTCTGTCTAATTTTATGTGTTTAAACTAATGACATTGATATATTCTATATCGAATTCTATATTCTATATCGAATTCATATTCTATATCGAATTCATATTCTATATCGAATTCATATTCTATATCGAATTCATATTCTGTATCGAATTCATATTCTATATATAAAACTAATTGTAAGTCAAGTATAATTAGATAGTTAACAAGTTAAAACATTCAAATGACAATTTTGACAAAAGTTCTTCAACTTTTCAGATTCGTCCCAGTGATAATGAACTCTTAGAGGTTGAAGTGGATGATAGCTATTTTATTGTAAAAGGTAAAAGATTTCAATCTTTTAATCATATTCTAACATTCTTAAGATCTTTAGATCTTTTAACAATAAAAATAGCTACACATTTTTGGATGTTGATTCCCTTTCAGGCTCCTATTCATTAGCGATTCTACGAACGGATCCCCTCGGTCAATTGCTCACCTCATTACAGGTGTGATTGTTTATTTTTTCGCTTTCTTATGAAAAACTGTAATTTGAAATCTATAATATAATTTAAATGCAAATTTCAGACTCATTCGCACGGTGGGAAATGCTCGTTCTCAGACATGGCTCAACTCGATTTCTCGCTAGCGCCCAAGCTACGCAAATTACTCTACTCGTGTCTAAAAGAAAAGAAGGTGAGTGATTGTAGATTTAAAGTAATTGAGCTTTTTTTTTATTGTTTGTTCAGCACCGTGAAACCTATCCCACTCTTTCTACAAGAGCTCAACACTTGGTGACCAACTTCGATCAATCATCGATAATCTATCAGCGGATGTTCGAGAATCATTATGATGTTGAGAGGAATCCAAAGGGTAATGTCAACTTGTGCACGGCTGAGAACAACGTTTGCGAGGATTTGATTCGTGAGAAGTGCATCGATTGTATGAAAGTCAAGGAGGTGAGTAGAAATATAGCATGCCTAATTGTTCTCGCTTTTCAGCTACCCACTGGATCCATCGATCTCAATCATCTTGTGCATTATGGACCAGCCGGCGGGTATTTAAGGTAGGAGACTTGAATCGATTTAAAGTTTCAATCAATGCTCTTGAAAGAATGAATTCATTTTCAGTGTCAAACAAGCTCTGTTACGATATTTTCTTCGTTTCATGGACGCTCAACAGATCACCGCCAACGATATTTTGTTGGCACCTGGGTCAAATTGCGCTCACGATATGGTCACCTTTGCCACAATGCAACCTGATGGTTTGTTGAGATCAACTTCTAATAAATTCGCTTTTTAGAGCTTTTAATTGCGAATACACCAATCTACACCCGTATTTACAACAACGTTGAGGAGAGAGCCGAGTGTCGACTCGTTACAGTGCCATTTGTGAGTAGAGAGAGATTTTAAAACTCGATAAATTTGAGATATCTACAAATTTTCAGAAAGACATCACGAATCCAAGTTTCGATATCGAAGCTCTCGGCCGAGCCATTGCTACCTATTCAGAGGAGGTGAGGAAATTGTGGAAAAACTTTCTACAAAGTTTCCAGGGCGAAGCGGTGCGCGGAGTGGTGATCGTGAATCCGCACAACCCACTCGGCATCACGTTCCCCGAAGAGCAAATGATCGAATTGTGCGAGTGGGCGAATGGGTAAGAGATTGAGCTTTATAAAAGTAAACTTTGATTTTAGGAAGGGACTATTTGTAATCGTCGACGAGGTGTTCTCCGGGACAATCTACGGGCCAAGAAATGGTTTCCGACCATTTCTCTCGTATCGCCACAAGTTGACGAATCCAAATAAAACGGCATGGATCTGGAGTCCCAGTAAAGTGAGTAGAAAAAGGCAATCTTTCAATAAATCTTGACTAATTTTCTAGGATTTCGGTCTTCCGGGAATCCGTTTGGCGTCGATCGTGTGCACAGATTCGGCGATAGCTCGTACTCTCATCAGAATGGAGGTCCTTCAACCGTGTTCGGCGCTCGCCCAGGATTTCACCACCCGTCTGCTAGAGGATCCTAGTAAGAAAAGCGTGAATTAATTAGCTAATTAAGAGTACTTTCCTAGGCTGGATCTCATGGTTTCACGGAGAGAAGCTTGCCCGTTTGCGTGTTCATCGTTCTTCTATCGTTCAAACCCTAGCCCATCTGCACATTCCGTTTGTTGACGCGGTCGCCGGGGTGGCGTTGTTCTGTGATTTCAGTCGAGTAAGCAGAAAATTGAGAATTTGTTTACACTAGTACAAACACTTAGTAGTACCGCAATAGAAATACAATCTTTGGACCTGTCTAACGTATTTCAGTTCCTACCCAATCCATACAAAGACGAGGATGCGTTAATCGATGCTTTGGTCGAGCGTGGGGTTTTCATCACTCCCGGAAAAGTGATGGGCGAGCAGCGGCCGGGTTGGATGAGACTCGTGTTCGCTTGTCAAAAGGACGAGTTGTACGAGGGTGAGCTCTTAAAACACGGATTACTTTTCATTCGATGAGAAATCACGATGCAAGAAATCGATGATACCAAAATTGGGCTTATCAAGTGTAAACTGTGAATTACGTTAGCTTTTTAAAATAGATGCCTCTTTTAGAAAACTCGTGCACCAAATTGAGCTCATAAAAGCGGGGGATAAATTGAAATCAAATCTGAAATTCAGGTCTAAAACGTCTTGTCTCAATTCTCGGCTCGGATCCCACATTCCAACCACGGGAAATCATCTATGAAACAACAGGAATTTCAGAAGGTCAATAGGGTCTTTTCTTCTATTTTTCCTTCTTTCCAAATATCTTTACTCATATGGGTCACTCATTTTTGTTATGCATATTTTTCAATAGCTATTGTTAGGCACTCTTCTGTTTCCTTTTCTAGGCTGGAAGTCATTCGTTTTTCTTTTTACGACACAAAACATCACCACTATTATTTCGAAATGAATAAAAGGTTTATCTTTGTCTGTCTCTTAATAATCACTTTCAAATATTGAGTTGGTGAATTGAAAGTTGCCGGCTATTTCGCGGGACTCGCAGATAAAAAAAACAGCATTGAATCAACTGAAAGGGGGTTTGGTTACTTCAACATCTTCTCAAATTATTGCGAAAAAATGATGCTTCCAGCTTTTTATTTTTTGGTATTTTTCTTCACTTCTTTTATTACACTCGACAATCTGCCACCGGGACATATTCGTCATGTCATGCTTCATGAGTTCCTACAAGAGCACAGTGCAGGCTTGGCAGCTGGTAATATTAAAGAGATATATGGGGAGGACTCACCTTCCGAAAGAACATGTCGAGTATGGTTCACCATGAACAAAGTATGGCTTGCCAAGTTTCGATCTGGGGACAAATCTTTGAAAGATACAGAGGGCCGTGGAGCGGCACCCCGGCTGGATGATTCCAAATTACTCGAACTCATTACCAACGACCATCGGGTATCATCGCGTGAATTGGGAGAAGAGTTAGGGGTTGATCATGTTACAGTGCTAAGGCACCTTCATACCCTTGGATTTAAATCGAGACTTGGGACTTGGGTGCCCTATGACCTCACTGACCCCCAGAAGTGGCAGCGCGCCTCGATCAGTGCCGCTCATCTCTCACGATACGAAAGGAAATCCTTTCTTCCACGAATTGTGACAGGAGATGAGAAATGGGTTTTATCTGTGAACTTTCGGAGGAAGCGGCAATGGGTGGGGCCAGGTGAGAAACCCGAAAGTGACCCCAAGCCCGATTTGCACCAGAAGAAGTTTATGCTCTGCGTTTTCTGGGATATGGAGGGAGTGGTGTACTGGGAGTTGCTGGATAGCAAGACGACCCTTAATGCAATCAAATACAGTGAACAGTTGGAAAAGGAAAAGGTGAATGAATCCCTAAAGAAGAATAGGCCCTTCAAGTCAAAGATCGTTCGTTTTATGTTGCAAAACTGACTCGCTCTAAAATAAACAGCCTTGTTTGGGAACTTTTGGCGCATTCCCCATACAGTCAGGACCTTGCCCCTTCTGATTACTATTTATTCCGGACCATGAGTAATGAGCTTGCGGGAGAACACTTCGATTCGGAAGAAGCAGTCAAAAATTGGCTTTGAAAGTTTTTCGATTCAAAACCAAAAACCTACCACGAAAGAGGAATCCGCAAATTGCCTGTAAAATGGGCAGAAGTTGTCAATAATAATGGAAATTATTTGGAATGAATTTATGGTTTATGTCGAATAAATTTTAGTTCAAAGTCCGGCAGTTTTCAATTCATCAATCCAATATTTTTGATAACACAAAACTGTCAGGAATAAACCATTAGGCTGATAGTGAATTTTCCTTACAAAGGTCATCAAGACTTTCTTTTTCAAAATTTTAAATGAAGCCGGAGTACGGTAGCTTTTTGGTAACAATGGGCTAACAGTGCATATTTTAGACCTTGGTAAGTAACTTTTACCCAGAAAAAAGCTTACAGGTGATCATCACGGTCGCGAAACCCGGCTCTAACGCCAATAACTTGTTCTTCAATTTAACAAGTTCAACAAGAAGTGATACAGCCACGCATAAGCCATTCGTATTATGCAACCAACCTTTTTCTTTAGTAGAATTTGAATAAACTTTTTTATATTTGCTTTTCCGTTTTTTAAACGATACATAAAAATTTATCTTAAGCGTGCACAAGGCCATAAATGTACATTTGACGACTCGAAAAGAAAATCTAATACACGTATTTGAAATGTAATAAAGAAATATAACGCTGAAAAGGGTAGAATCTCGACTCTAAAACTACAAATACAAACCAGGAAAAGCAGAGTTTTTCCCTAGAGATCGTTAGTTGGCTTTGGCGGCCAAATCGCGAAGAGTCGCGCTCACTTTCTCGGCTGACGCGTCCTCGAGGGAAACGGCTCGCTCAACACCGTGCTCGTACCTGGGAAATTAAAATTTAGCACATATAAAGCAATACTTTTAAATCAAATACTACATCCAATTTAAAAAATAAATAACTTCCAAACTGATATTTACATATAAAAATCCCCTGGCATCAAGTTATACAAACAAAAGTCGCTGTTAGCTTTACCAAAATGCAAAAATAACTCTTTTTAAGTTCCTATAGAAGAAAATGGAAGTTTTAAGCCACAAAAATAATCAAAATCTTTACCTGGCAAAAACGCGGGGAACGATTCCTGAGGCCTCTCTGATTAGAATCGGAAACTCGGGATTTGCCTTCTTTAACGAGACGTACTCCTTCTCGATGAAATTGCGAACACCCTAGAATTTCAAAATTAACGTACGCTTAATTATCGTTTTTACGCTTTTGATCTTTGATCACATTGGCATTTGATCGATCTTGTTTTCAGAGTGTTTGTATCAACAGATTTTGGGGAACTGTGGAAAAATGAAAAGAACTCCCGAAAACATTTCAATAAAAAGCCATTAACTAGCATAGTTATTTGACTAGTTCTGAATTCAAAAAAATCCTTCCAACCTGTGATGCAGCTGATTTTTGACACAAATGGATCCTCAGCTCCCGAAGGGCGGTTCCCGCCAACTTTATCGATGCCATTCTAAAATCAAAAGCTTTTAAAATATGGGAAAACTATAGAAAAGGAGCAATAGACAAACGAAATGTATGTAAAAGTTATATTGTAAAAAGTAAGGGACGAACAATTTTGCAGCAACTTTAAAACTTATGCGAAGACAAAGAGAAAAAGTGGTCCTAGCGCGACAAATTTCGGCCGACAGCCAGCTGAACCCAGAGATATTTTTGCTAGACTTTTCTTTCGTGAAATTTAGAAAGTTTCGTCATGGACATGGGCGGACACTAGCACTTTTAGTCAACTCTCAAAAATTATTCATTTTAAATGATCAAATGAGGGATCTTGCATAGTCGCTTTTGTCCCGTGAGCTGATTATTTATAGTCTGGGCATAGTAACCTGCAGCTTTCCAACTGAATATCTTTAAACTACTGAGGGAATTTTTTTTCGGCGGAAAAATTTCATTTGATTTCGGCGCTTCTGTGATTTTTATCTTTGATTTTTTTACGGCTAGATTATTCACCGTATTTACTCTTTTTTGGTAACTCCGACTTCAGATCTCAGCGCCCAAATCAAATTCTGGAAATTTCAAGCCCTATCTTTCAAGTTTGGTTTCTTGGATGTATCCGTAAATCTTTTCTTTTTCCTTTCTGATTATGTTTTGATTTTTTAATAGCAATAAGATGTTCATTTAGAAAAGCACACAAAAATGCTTTCCGCAGCTCGATCTCTCATCTCCGGATCGATCAGACGAACAATTGCCTCGAGTTCCTCACTTCGGTAAGGGTTTTTATTCATTTGCCATCATAATTCTTGTTATTTAGATCAAATGTCCGCGGCGCGGTTATTGGAATCGACTTGGGCACCACAAATTCGTGTGTCGCTGTAATGGAGGGAAAACAAGCTAGGGTAAGCAGATTTTCGAAGCTTTACCACCTTATAAAGATAGCCGCTAATTGATCTGTTCAGGTGATTGAGAATTCTGAAGGAGTGCGAACGACCCCATCTGTCATCGCTTTCACCAAAGACGGCGAACGACTCGTCGGAGCTCCAGCCAAGCGTCAGGCTGTTACCAACTCGCAGAACACACTCTTCGCCACAAAACGTTTGATTGGACGTCGTTTTGAGGACGCCGAAGTGCAAAAAGACTTGTAAGTTTTTGACCATTTAAAAATAATTATTCCTACACGTTTAACAATGTCTAGTTTTTTGTTTTCAGGAAGGTTGTGCCATACAAGATCACGAAGGCAAGTAATGGTGATGCCTGGGTCGAGGCTCAAGGAAAGCTTTACTCGCCATCGCAAATTGGAGCATTCACATTGATGAAGATGAAAGAGACCGCTGAACAATACCTGGGAACCACGGTGCACAATGCCGTCATCACTGTACCTGCCTACTTCAACGACTCTCAACGCCAAGCCACCAAGGATGCCGGGCAAATCGCCGGACTGAATGTGCTTCGCGTCATCAATGAACCCACTGCTGCCGCTCTTGCCTACGGATTGGAGAAGACCGAAGATAAAATGTAAGCAACGATTATCTGCATTTTACAGTAGCTGTCGAGTATTTGTGAAGCTTCACTTGTAAATCGTTCTTTCTAGCATTGCTGTGTACGATCTTGGAGGTGGTACTTTCGATGTCTCAATCTTGGAAGTGCAAAAGGGCGTTTTCGAAGTGAAATCGACCAATGGAGATACGTTCTTGGGAGGAGAAGACTTCGATGTTGCCCTTGTTAACTACTTGGCCGGCGAATTCAAGAAGCAAGAGGGAATCGATTTGTCCAAGGATCCTCAAGCCATGCAGGTAAACTTCAACTTAGATTATTAGTACTTAGTTAGGTGAGAGATTTCATTTGATGATGCAATTGTGTTTGATTCCTTGGTTGTTTGGAATGAATACAATAAGTGTCTCTTAATTTAGCGTCTCCGTGAAGCGGCTGAGAAAGCCAAATGCGAGCTCTCATCCACGGCTCAAACCGACATCAATCTCCCCTATTTGACAATGGATGCCAGCGGACCAAAGCACATGATGCTGAAATTGACCCGAGCAAAGTTCGAACAACTTGTTGCCGGTATTTCAGTATCTCTTTGTCTTTGTACACTTGCTTTTAGATCTTGTCAAGCGCACAATTGAACCCTGCAGAAAAGCCATGCACGATGCTGAAGTAAAGCCATCTGACATCAGCGAGGTCTTGCTTGTTGGTAAGTGCTTTGTTCTTTACTTCCAAAGAGATTTAAAATACTAACAAAAAATAATTTTTAGGTGGAATGTCCCGTATGCCCAAGGTGCAAGAGCTCGTGAAGGAAATTTTCGGCCGTTCTCCATCAAAAGCCGTAAATCCCGATGAGGCTGTTGCCATTGGAGCCGCCATTCAAGGAGCAGTGCTTGCCGGAGATATCACCGATGTCCTTCTCCTTGATGTTACTCCTCTGTCCCTTGGAATTGAAACGCTTGGCGGTGTCATGACCAAACTCATCAACAGAAATACGACCATCCCTACAAAGAAGAGCCAGGTAAATGGTTATTTTTAAACAGCTGAACGCTTGGTGCTTAGGTCTTCTCAACCGCTGCCGACGGACAAACTCAGGTGCAAATCAAGGTCTGCCAAGGAGAACGCGAGATCGCAGCTGACAATAAGTGCCTTGGACAATTTTCTTTGGTAAGTGGGAGTTGGTCGATTTATTTTTGTCTTGTTACTTTAGATTGGCATTCCTCCAGCTCCACGTGGTGTTCCGCAAGTTGAGGTCACATTTGACATTGATGCCAACGGAATTGTCAACGTGTCAGCTAAGGTTTTTATCATCTATTATGACCAATATATCATCAAAATTTAGGACCGTGGTACTGGGAAAGAACAACAAAGTACGGTTGTTTAAATTTTTTTAACCTTCGTGTTTCGAGCAGTTGTGGTCGACTACGAATATATTTTCTTTTTAGTTGTTATTCAATCTTCTGGTGGACTCTCAAAGGATCAAATTGAGAACATGATCAAGGAGGCTGAACGAAATGCTGTCGCGGATCAGGCTAAGCGTGAAAAGGTACAGAACATTTTATTTCAATTTAAGTTGTTAAATTAGATCGAAATTGTCAATCAAGCCGAAGCTATGGCCAACGATGTGGAGAGCAAAGTGAAAGAATTCGCGGAACAACTCTCCAAGGATGATGTTGAGAAACTAAAGGTCAGTTAATACTTTTCAAAGCTTCCATTAGAAACTTTAGGTGAAAGTCGAGGATATGCGCAAGGTGCTGGCCGAAAAAGACAACAAGACTAACGAGGAAATCAAGGTGAGTTATACTTGTTATGGTTTAATAAAAAATTGACATAGGAGGCCTTGGAACAACTCAAGACTCAATCATTGGATCTCTTCGGAGCCGCCTATAAGAAAATGGCAGAAAAGAACTCGGGAGGACAACAAACTCAGGTAAAATCAAGCGCGCTCTATAACGTTTAGTTTTGATTTCACAATAAATTATTCTTTTTTATTTAGGAAGCCGAACAAGCCGAGGAACCAAAGAAGGACAAGCAAGACGGTGGCAAGCAATAAGCAACCTCGACATTTTTACATTTTCAATCCCTTGTAATTGAAAACTTCGAAGCCAGAGCTTTCCATTTAGTGTTAGGCATGACGTAGTTAGTTCTAGATCAACCCCCCGTTGTCTCTATTGAGTTATTTCCTTAAATTGTTTGTTTTGTTATTAAAATTTGTTACTCTTTGAACGGTTTTCTTTTGTTTCCTGAACGCCAATGTTTTGAATAAACACAAGATCCTCATGCTTGACACAATTCGTCGCTCAATGTTTTTCCGAATGAAAAAGTTGCTAGTCAGGAGCGAGCGAAAGATTGTGTCCCCCTCTCGTACACTGGTATCATAGTTGTTTTTTGGTCTGTTCCGTTGTCATTTTGTGTTTATCCCATTGCGCCTCATTTTTGAAATAAACTTTTTGTCTCGAAGACAAGACAGCATTGCATAGAAGTCACCAAAAGGAGAGTTGGCAGAGCGTTGTGAAGGACAGAAGTGAGTCGATAAAAACGCGTCGCCGGAAAGAATTAGAGTAATCATTGCTGGAGTAAAATCGCATGAGTTTACATGAGTCGTTTTACCGTTTTACGCAGAAATGACCAAACTCACTTGCATTGGGTCCTCCATCACTCGATGATAACAAAAAATTAGGAAAGGCCAGGGAGTAGACTTTGTCAAAATGTTGTCTGCGGTCATTTTGAGACCGAAATCGTATTAATTGGTCAACTCACAAAAAAGTTGTAACATTTTGAAGACAAAAATGACTTTTGACGACTTTCTGCGCGCTAAAACGTGGATAATACCGTAACCCTTTCTATGGCTAAAAAACTACTTAAGGAAGCGCTTGCAAGGAATTTTTTTCAGTTCTTTTTTTAACACAGTTACGACGACGGAACCCACCGGTGGGTCCCGGACCTCAAGTCGCGTGAACTCTCATAATTTTCACCAAAAGAAAAGGTTCAATGCAACAGAAACAAAGTAGTTTACATCATAGCTCGAGAAACGTAGGTCAACTAAATTTTTTTTTGAAAATTTAGAATCTACGCTACTTATTTGCTATATATGCAAATTTTCATAAAAATAGCTAATCTGAACCGCGCTCATCTCAGATGGAGGTTTTGCAAAAAAAAAGCGCTCGTCATGAACGTGTTAAGATCTTACTTTCTCATTTTCATGTCATAATAATTGTTTCTTTTTTTCAGATACATCATTAATGACCGGATCAATCAGCACAAGCATAAATATGGATTTCACGAGGTTACTTTTTTTAATATGGCTGTCGTTTAAGCGTGAAAGCTTAGCTTTTATTCGATCTCAGCAACGTGACGAGGAATATAATTTAGATCTGAAGTGTGTAAAAGTAATGTTTATTTAAACATCATCAGTTAACACAATTTCATTAAATGTCATTAAATGGACAGTAAATCTTTATGAAAAAGTAGAACACGTTGAGTCGAATTTCCTTGTCCGACAACACGCTCTTTGTAGATCCGATCTTTCGCGAGAACTCATCAAAAAAAACCCCAGACAATTGCATAACTTTTTGTAGGCAAGTGAACTCAACGATCGCACATAACTTTTTCCTTTGGCTCGTTCAAATCATCGAATTTGTAAGATTTAGCCTTTGCTCTGTTAAGACCCAGTTTTTCAGTCAATTGCAAAAAAGCATCTCCTTATTTTGAATGGCTTGCACGAGCATGTAAGAGGATTAAATATGCGGATGATCTCAAAATTTACCTACATGCGGCAAGAACACTACTGATATTATTTTTTTGATAAATATTTACTGTTTAAAACACAATAAAAGCGCGACACCAATAGGCATTTGCGGGTGGTGGGCTGGCAGGTGTGCCTCAAGCTCTCACGGGTAACATGCCTAATACCTAAGTAAGTACACACAAGAAATCTAAAGCCAAAGTCTCACAATTGCAGTCGAGTCCTGCACTACATCGATATTCTGTCCGAAACGACACCCGATTAAAAGGATTCCACCATCATCTGTTAAAAAAATTTCCGGACTTCTTTATAAGTGCCCCTTGCGCGTGTAAACAAGATACGTCGGACCACCATGTTGTTTTGTGTTTTAGTTCCTTTTATGAAGCACACCTCCTTCGGCGCAGATTTTTATTAGCAATCATATTTATTGAAAATTCGCATATTGCATTTATCAAGAAATTCAAAACTATCCATTGACAAAAACCGGGATAAAACACTGCAATAATAGGTAAAATAGCTACAAAAATAAATTTACGGCATAAGTAGGAGCTTCACTTTCCTTGCTCAATAAGTGCTGAACGCGTCTTGACTGTTGATCCACAATGGCTGAGTACCTCCTTGATCTTCATCAATTCATTCTCGATTTGCGAGCCCAATGCCTGATCATCCTAAAAAATTAGAATAGCGAATGACGAACAATCACTAAACTCACCAAACGACAACGTGCGCCTCCTTCTTGATTCAAAGAATCTTTCGTTTCTTTGAACAATTTGCGAGCTTCGACCAGAGCGTTTTGATAAGTGTGTATCTGCTGCCACATAATTGAGATCCTTTCCAAGAGCTCAGAGTTTGACAGTCCATCTCCATCCTTCACCGGTTCCATCAACGCTTGGTACTTGGCAGTGACCAACGAACGCAAGTCCCGTGTTTCCTCTAGCACCTGAAACGACACTAATACGCTAATCCAATTAAAAAAAACCTTATTCCATTGATCTCCACTTTTTCCGTGAAACGAAGACACGATGGATTTGATTTCCTGCACAATTTTGTCTGTGCGAGTACAAATTTCATAGAATTCGTTGCGCAGTGGGTCTTTGAATCCTAAAAAATGTAATTACAGTGAAAAAAGAAATTTAACTTACGCTTTGTTGAGCTTCCTGAAATTGGTACATTTTCCTTGGCATCATCTGGCTCAGCGAGAGTGGACATGCTTTGTTGCAACTCCAGAACTTCCTTCGATGACTTTTTGCGGGTTGCGGCATTGGAGTCACTGCGCATTTGAGCGTAAACCTTTTCAGCCATTCGGTTATTGTCATGAATTTTCTGCATTTGTCGCTTTGTCCAGTCACAGGCGCGCACCATTGAGTCATTCAAGAGCTGGAGTTGTGCTTGCACTTGAGATACCAATGATCTAAAAAACAAAGATGGTAAAAGAGCGAAACATAAGTATTTACCTGTTCTCGCTGTGCGATCGAATCAAACTAGTGTCGTCTTGGTTGTCACCGCGAAGTCGGGCCAGCTCGTGAATCATCGCACGTAAATCCATTACTTGAGCGTGAATTTGTTTGAACTCGGCATCGTTTCCTTTCTTCAAGTGGGAGATCTAAAAACAAAACGTTGCAAAGCGTTAAAAATACCAAACTTCTTCTTGTGCATCAGTCAAAAGCTTTTCATAGTGTACACATTTCTCCATTGACCTCTTGGCAGAATCATCTTCGTTGAGAATGGCCTCTTGATACTTTGCGGTCTAAAAATAATGTTGTGAAATTAGCAATTATATTCTTTACAGCTTTTTCGGCCTCGTCGGAGAGTGTTTGAATCGTGTACTTATATTCGGCTTCAAGATCCTTGTAGCGCTTTGCCTAAAGAGGATTACTAAAGTCGTAAAATTTTAAGCACCTCGACCACAAATTCTTCCATTTGATCTCGGAGCGTCTGGAGCTTGCTTTCTTGATCACTCTTATATTCCTCAAGTCTGGAAACCTACAAACACAAAAGTTTTTCTTAAAAAAGCGGACAATCACCTTCTGCAAATATTCATGGCACCTGGCTTCAAACTTTGCTTGTCGATCCTGACATTTGTTAAGCTCGGTTTCATGTTCATCAATGACAGTGTCGCGTTCCTAAAAGAAATATTTACGAATGTAATACAGTTTTTAATTAAAGTTGTAATTAATCGTGTCAAAAAAAGTACCCGAATCAAGCGGCGATTTTCTTCAATGATCTGCTTGAACTTGGTCTCATCAGCTCGAAGTCGTTCCACCTCCTCGTTCAATTCAGAATTCGCAAGCGTGGCCTCGTTTTCTCGTTTCTTTTCAACCTCAAGCTGACGATGCAAGGCAGCCACATCACTTTCAAGTCGGACACACTTCTGAGCAGCCCTCTCAAATCCTTGCTTTTCTTCATCCCAAACGGCCTTCGCCTCTTCAAATTCCTTTGTAAGCAAGTCGCATTTGTTGGAGAGCTAAAAGCAAAATGTACTTTTGTGAAAAAAAACCTTGATTACCTCATCATATGTCTGTTTGTTCACAAAGCGTGATGACGATGAGGCGACACGTGGAGATTGAATCACTTTGGTGAAGGACTTCGTAGGCGATGCGTTGATCTCATGTTGTGAAACACCAGCTCCGAGACGGCTCATGATTTGCGAAAGGCTACTCACACCACCGATAAAAGACTAAAAAAGAAAAATCTAGAATTATCAAGTTGCTACACACGACCTCGCTAATCGATTTCTCCAACACCCAGCTAGCTTCGTTGAAGGCCACTTCAATTTCTGAAATAAAGAATTCAAAAAAATCCAACGTTAAAATTCAACCTTCCAATGCAGCAATGCTATCCCTTCTCAGACTATCATCAAGACTCAATGTCATCCTGCGGATCTCTTCGGCAAAGTCAGATTTGTCATCTTTGATGTGTTGAAGAATGCGGGCAAACAATTCAGAGGCTCCCTTGATACGTTCGAATAAGAGGCGTGTGGTCATCTTCAAACTCATGACTTTTTCCTAAAATAAATTAATAAACTAACACCGCTTAAGATCAAAAAAACCTTCATCTCATCAAGCGACTCCTTTGTGTGAATTGACTGATTGATAACTTCCTGCGACGCTTCATGTGGAATGTCGTTTACCTAAAAAGCCTCATTAAGATCCAAAAAAAGAAACAATTGCAACTACCTGAAGGGACTGTTCGGTGAAGTTGAAGAGATTTTGATGCAGATTCAAATTGTTTCTAACTTCATCAGCATAGTTGAGAAGCGAATCGATTTCCTCGGGCACCATTGATCCTTCTCGCATCGACATTTCCCTGTACTTGCCGCCAAGTTCAATTAGCGCCCTCTTCAAATGCTCATTCTCTTGTCCAAGTGTACCCAAACGATCAAGCCATTCCGAAGCCTAAAATCTGTTACGATAACAAACGAGTAGCAGTTACATACAGTTTCCATACGTCGTTCTTCTGTTCCGATAGCGCTTTCGCGGAGCTCATTTCGATCAATGCTTGTCTGAGCGTACATTGTCATTGTCAAGCTGGCAACTTGTTTTTCCAAATCATCTTTTGATTTCTGGACATTCTAAAGTGAATATTTAGAACCTAGCCTCCAGTCGCAACAAACCGTCAAAAGTCGCAATGCCTTCTTGTAGTCTTGGTCTTGCTCGCGGATCTTTGCATCTCGTTCATCAATGGCATGCTGGAGCTCGTCGATCTTCTCTTGGTACGTCACTTTGCCCAAATCGCCAACATCCACAGAGAAAGTCTAAACAATACAAAAAAATCAAACAAACAAAAATCACAAACCTTATCTCCTGGCGCTCCTTTCACCGACCATTCATTCAATCTGGCCAAAGCCTCGTTGCGCTCGCGGCTCATTTCTTGGTTAGCTCTGAGGAGATCGGCTCGTTCACAGTCCAGCTCCTCGATTCGCTGCTTTAGATCGCCGATATGCCTAAAAGCACTTATTATATGTAGTGCCGACGGAAATAGCATACCGTTGATTGGCATCTCCAAAGATTGAATCGACGCTTTCGTCCATCCACGGAAAACGTTGCCGAGCCTCGTCAAGTTGTCGTTTTGTCTCCGCATACGCTGTCGAGATTTCTTCACTCCATCTGACTTGGTCCTCTTTTTCTCGCTCAAGTGCATCAAGCTAAAATTCATTATTAGTCATTGTCAACCAAAGGTCTATGGTCTATACCTTTGCTTTATTTTCGCGGACATTTTCTAAAAGTTGCTGGTAGGCTTCTTCGATTTCTTTCTTCTCTCGAACGATCTCGACTTCGCGAGACTTCAGAGTGTGAAACTGAAAAGAAAAGTTGCGTGACACCTGAAAAAGATTACCTCTTCAGCCAAGTGGAATTTGTCTTGTCCGGTAATTGTCAAGATGATTTCTTTGAGCCGAATGATTTCAAGACGTTGGATTTGGTTGCGATTCTTCAGATCCTCGTTCTCGTTGAGCGTTTGGACGAGTGGAATCGCTTGGGGGCGATCTCTTGGCAAATCGGAGGCGGCTCTCATTGGCGGTTCGATATTGGCGCTCATCGAAACATCTAAAAAATCAACAGTTGGTCATACATACAGTTAAACCCTACAAGAATACAAAAAAAGTAACTAAAAATAGACGAAAGTCGTGGATTAGGTAGCCTTTTTTATAAAAACAAAGGCTAATACCCGAAAAGCGGCTAATCTCCAAAAGAAAACCCCAAGATCATTACTCGTTTCTATAGCAACGGTTAGGATGAAGCTAAGGAATAACGAATGCTGCTGAAAGCATGTAAATTACTAGAGCTTTAGGATCCAATTCCGATAGAATACTACTGTTATGGATTCTCTTCATTCCCAAATGTTCTCTACAGTTGATCCACTCTTGAACTTCAAAACCACTCACCAGGAAAAGAGCGGCTTGTCGCATTGATCGTCGATCGGCGCTCCCAAAGCGGTGTCTCGTTGGCGTCAAGGAAGTTCGAATCGTTGTCAAACATTCTAAAAAAGGGAAAATTGATACCAAGTTGCAACTTGAAACTAAAGAGTCAAATCAAGAAACCAAGTGGGAAAAAGTTAATGGTGTATCAACCAGAAAGAAATTTGAAAACTAGCAAGATTTCTATGAGTGCGTAAGAGTGAGCAATGGTTTGATAGCTATGAAATAACCATAAGCAGTTTCAAATTTCAAATCAGGTCCGGAGTAATTGGGGGGAGTGAAAATCTGAAAAATTTGAGCGCGGTGGTAGCCCCGGATGTGCAAAGGGTGGTATTGTAGGGGCGTCTTTTGAATGGGTAACTGAACCCAAGGGTGGAGGGACAAGCTTTCGGATTGGTTTAATAGGATAACAATCGCAAAATTAAATATCTAAGTTGTACGAATACGGTGGTCAAAAAAGTATTAATACCTTCACTTCTTAATTTCACTTGTTACCTTTAAAACTTTTCTATAATCCAAGCATTTTCAACCGGCTTTAAATTTTCAGATACCGCAACTCCTAAACTTGTTCTGCGTAGAAAAACCTTTGACTTGAAAGTTTTCTTTGAGAAGAAAAAGTCTTGAATGTAAAATATGAGCGAAAATAGACTCAAAAGTACTATTACCTTTTCAAAGGGTCCCCCTCGCCCACTCAGCTGAATATCTTCTAGTTTCGTAGGGAAATTCAAATAAAATGGACCGCTACGAAAAATTTACGCAGAAAAAAGGGGCGGGGCTTCGTAGCTTTCATAGCTGCCCAATTTGTTTGAATTTTCTCATAAAAATTAAGATTTTTTCGTCTGCTTTTCTTTGTATTCGCGATTTCACTCTCTAATTGTAGGTTTGATGGACTCATTCAGTCATCGAGAAATCCGAATATCGAATCCTTTCGTGGAGGTAAGCATTTAAAGGTGTTACGCTTTCAAATTTTGCAATTTTTCCCAATTCTTCTGTTTTAGGGTAGTCAAATCGAGATCAGCTACGAGTTGGACGAGAATTTGCCCCTTTCGGTTACCTATCACGACTATTGTCTCAAATCGGCGAGGTTGGTTGGTTTTCTCGATTTTAATGATCTTAAAGCCGATTTTGTAAATCTTGACCCCTGAGAACTTTGTCTTAAGTTAGCTACGACTGAGTTGAAATCATTTATTTATGATTGATTTCAGGAAGTTTCTTCTGGAATGCTTCACGAAACAATTCGAGGCCTGGCTGGGCGACATGAAGAAAGCGAATTTGCCAAGAGCTCAATTGATGGTCACTATGCATCACCAAATGCGCAACATTAGGAAATGTTTAGATGAAGTAGGTTTTGCGTAGTATGGTTGTCTTTTAACCCATTATTTTTTTTTAGCTTTTTGGCTCATTATGTGGACAGGATACAAAACTTTCAAGAAGTGTGCGCATTCAATGCATGAACTGGTTTATGCCGACTCCACTGAAGAATCTCTTCAGCGATCATATGGTAAATAAGTTTTTAGAGTTAAAAACTAGTTTTCAAAGGTATAAAATCGAGCTTTAGTCCAGAATCTTTCTCTTCTCGATCATTTCTTTTGTGCAGGTCTCTCTGGAACAGTGCCCGGGTAAGGTTTTATTGATAACATTTCGAAGAGAAATCTTTTAGTTGGTGAGCGAGCGCATGCGGCCTCAATGGAGTTGCTACAAGATATGTGGGTTTATTTTAATGTATAAATTGTATTAAAGATGATTTAGTCTCAATTTGGTCAACGGTTTCCGCGAAGAGCTCACAAATGAGGTGAAAAACATCGGCGATCCGTTCTTTCAATCATCAATCGAGCATGCGCTGCACGTTTTTGTCCAGGTGGGAGGAACTTTTTAAAGATAGCTAACCTATTGAACTGATTTAGGCGTCGATTAAGAAACACGTTGCCACTACGCTCAGTCTACCAGCAAAAGAAGAACTAGAAAAGGTTGATTTTTAAAAAAACCAGTTGATCTTCTTGATCTTCGGAATTTTAGGAATTCAATGCTCTAGTAGCTTGGATTGAGAAAGTACCCATGAAAACTGCGGAATCAACGGCGAGCGATGTGCGTGTTTATATGGAGTGCCTATTTGTCGATCAGTACATTGATAAGGTAAGGAATTCGTTTTAAATGTGGCTAAATCCAAATTTTCTTTAGATTTACAACATAACGATTGCTGGCACAGCCCATTCAGCAGAGATTATTGATATTATTGGCTCATTTATGCAGCGAAACAATGGGTAAGGTTTCGTTTTATCAGCTAAACTCTAATTTTGTTATTATTATTTTTAGATATGGTCGACAACGGATTATCAATCGATTGACAACTGAAGTGAATCGACAACTTTTGAATATCTGTAAATTTTGATAAACTTTTAAAAGTGGCTATTTCAAAACTTTCAAACTTTTAGCCGCTTCCACTGCGCTGATTCTGACGTCGTATGCAAATGCGGTCACCTCATTGCGTCGTTTGGATCCGTCGACTTTCATTATGCACATTGTTTGTGGGAAAATCAAGAACTATCTGAAGTGAGTGAATTTATGATTGCCCGATTTTCACCTAATTACATTATAGGCAACATCGCACGGACACCGTCCGTCAAATCATCTCTTTCATCACCAAGGCCGGACATCAATTCAACGATCAGATGGTAGGATGGAATAAGGTTTATAGAATTATTCTTTTTTTTTAGCAACGTTGCGTGATCATAGATGACGAGGACGCGTTGAGTGTCAACGACGAGTTTCTTGACGATGAGACAATTCGCAAAACGTGGAGATCGTGGAGGCCCGATCCGCCTGATGCCTTACATAGTGGGTTGAGAGAAGTGTTCAGATTTTACCAAAATTCTTCAGGCAAGGGACGCGTGCAGCGATCGGCCGATGTTTTCACGATGCTAGTCTCTATTTATGGAAGCAAGGATTCGTTTGTGAAAGAATATCGACAATTATTGGCTGAAAGACTCACTCAAGCAGCACATAAAGATGTAAGTTATGAGTTAGCACTAATGGATCTAATTAAACATTTAGCCGGCTTTTGAATCGCGATATTTGAATCTACTCCGTTTACGATTCTCCGAGGCCGAACTGCAACAATGCGAGGTATTATTTCTCGGGGTTTTTTTTCAAACAATTAACCTTTTAGGTGATGCTGAAAGACATTTGCGACAGTGAAAATCTTATGGAAGAAATATCAGCAGCCGGCAAATTGGTTTGAACTGAAATTTTCAAAAGCGTAACGTTTTTTTAAGGTTTTCCCGTTGAGCGCCCGCATAATCTCGACCTACTTTTGGCCCGACGTCAACAAGGATAAAACGATGGTCAGTTTTGAAGTTAAAACTGGACTTTGATTTTTCAGGAATTCCCTAGCTATTTCGATGAACACTTTGCCGTTTTCGAGCAAGAGTACAAGAAGCTGAAACACGATCGAAAGTTGAATTGGATGAAAGCAGCAGGGTGAGTTGTTTTAGAATTCTCAATGAATTTTATTGTTTAGTTGTGTGGAAATGACGTTGACGATAGATGGAATGTCCGTGGATAAAGTGGTGACGAATTCGACGGCCGCCGTTCTGTATCCGTTTTTGGAACAAGGTAAATCTCGTGGCTTTGAAATGTTCAACATTTCATTTAGAAGCCTGGACGGCAATCCAGCTCATCGAATTACTCAAAATGCCTCGTAGTGTCGTGCAAAAACGATTAGGTTTTTGGCAATCACAGGTTGCTTATTGTTTCAGAACGTAAAATTTTTTTCTTTAGCGCGTGCTGATCAATTCGGGAGAAGACACTTGGACGCTGACCACTCAACCAAATGATGTTGATCAAGTGCAGGTAAATTAAAAAACTTTTTGCTAATTTTAGTTTCTGCCTTTAGTATGCCGAGCAGGAAGAAGACGAGGAAGAGGAACTTGACGAAACGGATCGAGAGAAAGATGATGGAAATGGAACAATGGATGAACTTGAACAATATTGGACCTATACGAGAAATTTTATCGTAAGCAATTGTAGATTTAGGCTGGATAAGAACACTTGAGAAGAAACCTTGTGTTTGGAGAAATTTTAGAGCAAATTGGCCCAAAAATGTCAGTGTTTCTAATTTTAGAATGGTCAAGAACAGAAGGAGATGCGCGCCGAGCGACTTTTCGGCATTTACAAGATGTTCGGCATTCAATCGTTGACTTTGGAACAGGTAAATTGTATTTTTACCGTGGCATCTAGACTAAACACTCTTTAGGTGGTGGCCTTTTTGAAGAAGAAAGTCAGCGAAAATCTCCTTTCGATCAACAATGGATTCTATCGAGTGGTGAAAGAATAATTATGATTCGGGTTATTTTGCACGTGTGTAAGTCTCTATATTTTATCATTTTTGAACGTTTACGGGTTTGCTTATTGTATTAGGTTGGAAAGAAAGTTCTCGGAATAAGTTTGACTGGAATTTCTCAAAAACGAATCCACCAATTCAAGAACATTTCATTCTATTATTTACAAGTCGACTCCAAGAAATTACTCGTAAAAAAATGAGCGCAGCTTTCCCTTAAAATTTTGGAGATTTTTGAATAATTCTTATTTTCGAGCTTAAATTCAGCTCACTTTTTGCACCAGAAAAACGATTCCTTATGAGGTAAAGCTAGCATAAATGAGCAATACTCTACATGTATAATCTCTATTTTTGGCCCAAAAATTTTTTTACAGAGAAGCTGTATTTCAACAAATAATTTTTTGGTGTCATCTTCTCGGCACTGAGTGTTTGCTAAAATAGGTCACTCTGAAAAGTCAAAGCATTAGATAAAAGTTGCCTTAATCACAAATTTTCCCTATTTGAAGTACTTCATTTTTTAGGTTTTGAGTGGGACCCATTGCCTATCCATGAACCCATTAAAAACTTGTCTAAAGGCTGGGCACTCAAAAAGTGACCAAGTCACTTCAGCTGAAGAAATCTCTTATTTCTTTACCTGAAGGCCACTCGGATTTTTTTTTGTCAAAAACTTGAAATATAGACAAGTTTATCAAAAAATCTGGAAAGAATTCATCGCTTGGTTTTTGAGAAACCACCGTGCAACCTTTTTGACAAACTTTCTTGCCAACCTAATAGATTTGTGATTGTAATAAAAATTTTAGCTTCAGGGAGGAGAGCTTGAGAAAGAACACTAGAGGCTTTTTTATAAGACCCCTTTGCGAGTGTCAAAAAGATTTGTCGGACCACCATGTTATTTTGTGTTTCAATTTCTTTTATGAAGTACGCCTGCTTCGGCGTAGATTTTTATCGACAATCCTTGATTTAAAAATTCGTACATTGCATTTAGCAAGAAATTCAAAACTATCCATTGACAAAAACCGGGATAAAACACCGCAATAATAGGTAAAACAGACAAAAATAAATTTACAGCATGAGTAGGAGCTTCACTTTCCTTGCTCAATAAGTCCTTCACGCGTCTTGACTCTTGATCCACAATGGCGGAGCACCTCCTTGATCTTCACCAATTCATTCTCGATTTATGGGCCTAATGCAAATTTCGTAGAATTCGTTGCGCAGCGGGTCTTTGAATCCTAAAAAATGTAATTACGATGAAAAAGAAATTTAACTTACGCTTTGTTACGCTCTCAAGTGCATTAAGCTAAAATTGATTATTGGTCATTGCTAACCTTTGATACCTTTGCTTTATTTTTTTACTTTTTTACTTTTTTTCTAAAAGTTGCTGGTCATTTTCTAAAAGAGCGGCTTGTCGCATTGATCGTCGATCGGCGCTCCCAAAGCGGCGTCTCGTTGGCGTCAAGGAAGTTCGAATCGTTGTCAAACATTCTAAAAAAGGGAAAATTGATACCAAGTTGCTGCATGAAACTAAAGATCAAATCAAAAAACCAAGTGGGAAAAAGGTAATGGTGCAAAATGATTGAAAAATCGGTCTTTTTTGCCACTTTTCAATCATTTTGTTCTAAGCGCTGGTTAATGCTAAAAATATGTGTTATATCTCAAAAAACCACCCATTCTTTCAACTTTAATTTGATACCTAAGCGCGCTAAAACATGAAATATTTCTGGGCGCCAAGATATGAGCGGTTCTTTGAGTGTAAACTTAGACTACGCGACGCTCCTAGGGGGCGGGGGGGGGCTACAATTACAGCTTTTACGGTATTCATCTTTAACAATCAACAAAACAACAGGGATTTAAAGATAAAAACAGATAAATCGTCAAGAAAAAGCGATGCACATCCGCGCAAAACAAGGTAAAAATGCGTTTTTCTGATGAAATTTCTTCAAATAGATACCATTCGACGCAGAATTTTGTGCTGGTCCCAAAAATGATACCGTAATACTTGTAATAGTAGCGCCCCCACCCGGTACAGTCGCGTGGTCTGGTCTCTTTTTAGAAAATCATTTTTACTTGGCTCCTAGATTTTTCCCAACTACACTTTGGTACCAAAAAATACTAGATTTCAAGGGCCCTCATTTGACACCCAAGCGCACACTGTAGCATAAAGCAGCGCGGAGAACGGAGCGTGTAAAGTTAGACTACGCAGCAATACCCCGTCATTATGGGGGGGGAGGGCGCTACTATTACAGGTTTTACGGTAAGGTGTTTGGGGGGAGCCACCTATATCTTCGATTTTTCAACTTTAACTAGGGTAATCGAGGGCGCTGAGTACGAATTTCCCATTTTAAACATAGATTTGCTTTTAAAAAACTCACTTTTTCGACCTCAAAATTAATGCAAAATCAATGCTTTTTGGCGATTTCGTATGCAAATTTGCGTGTCTACATTTGACTTTTTGAGCATTTAGCCGTAATGATGCACTTAGGCAGGCCCGGGTTGGGTCTGCCTAAGACTTAAATGCTTTTAAACATAATTAGTTTTTTTATGGTTTCTATACTAGTTGGGGGGCGGGGGTGGGGGCGCAAATGGACCTGTCCAGGGAAATTTGCATTTAGATTCAGGAATCAGGTTGGCCTAGGAGCCACGTGGTTCTAGGGTGCAGAGTCATAGCCCAGGAAAATATCGGGGCCACGTTGTTATTAATCAAGTTTTTGAAATTCTTCACGGCTAAAACCATTTTCATTCGATTCAGCGTGTTTGGAAACCTAGAAAATAAAAAACTTGCTCGTTCAATGCAAATTTCTTTGGCCACGCCCATTTGCGCTCCCGACTAGTATAGCACCTTTTTTTATTTTAGGGGTCTTTCACCAACACCACGCTCCAACAGAGGTAAGGAGGTTTTATATGATGCGAGTGGATTTGAATATCGCTTTTATCGGGAAAATTTTACTACAGGTATTCCTTGGTTTCTTTTCAATTATAATTTGTCCAATTAGGTGTCTTTCAAAAGACTGCAACGTTAAGGCTCGCTCGAGGGCAAAAGGCAATCATGTAAAGTGCCTTGGAGAACATCAGCATTTGCCTCCTGATTTTGGAGAGGTTAGCGCTAACGTTTGAGGTTTATTATTTGTTTTTTAGTTACGTCTAATCAAAAAAGAAGTTAAAAACGCTGGCGTGCAGGGTGTTCCAACTGGCACATCATCAATAGCTACGTTCGCGATGCTGAAAGGCACTTACAACCGTATTTGAACGAAGATGCCATGCTTCAAACGGTAAAGCGGATTAAAAAGAAAGGATCGATCATTAAAACTGGCCGCACAACATTGACGTTTCTTTATTTGGTAGGGATTTTTTAAAAATAACATTTACATAACCATTTTCATTTATTTAGCGACAAAACTTCTGAACTGAAACAGTCTGCAAATGTAAATGCGGATGCACAAATTCTTCCAAAAATCAACAGTTTGTTTTTCAAACTAGACTGAAAAATGTTTGCTCAGGGTTTTACAAATCGTTCGAGCGATCATATTTGGGACGTTTTACGATCCCAGGATTTCGTGGGCCAGCGAAATATGAGATAAATAAGTGGAACGCTTATGAGCGTGTACTTCTTGGTCAACAGATTGGAAACTCTGCTCAAGAGGGATTTCACTCTTTATTGAAGGTTTGCTAGAAAGCTTTCTAACCTTTTAACTCAGACTTTTTTAGAAGGGACCCAAGAATCCGCATCCATCGTATACTGCGGTCAGACTTTACGAAGAAATGACGCAAATAATCAACCGTTTCAAGCTTTCATCGGCTATCAATCTCACCGTTGGACAAAACTACACACGGAAGAAAACTGTATAGGCTCGACAAAAGCAACGTTTTACTGCTATTTCTAATGGTCGCTTGCCCGGTTGCGATTTTGTGCAACATCTTTCTCAGCTTTTGACTTATATTAAAAAAATTTTATTTTTATTGTTGTCCTAAATTTCATTGCTATTGTTGTCCTAACTTTCATTGTTATCGGTTGCACTTTTTTGTTAAAGCGATAAAATATTTTACTAATGGTTATTAGCTCCTAGAAAGGGCTAATTTAGATAAATCTTGGAAGATTGTGCAAAAAATTGGAAGATTTCATAAAAAATAGAAGAAAATAAAAAAAACAATAAAAAAAAGTTCAAAAATAAAAATAATAATTAAAAACTCGAATGCTTAATACAGTGTTAAAGTTGCGCAAATGACCCTTTTTGTGCAAAAAAAAAGTTGCACAAATGACCCTTGTTGCGCAAATAAAATTAGCGGAAATTAGCCTACCCCCATTTCGCTTTTATTCGAGTTTACTTTATCATTTTCATGTCATAATAATTGTTTCTTTTTTTCAGATACCTCATTGATGACCAGATCAATCAACACAAGCATAAATACGGATTTCACGAGGTTATATTTTTTCTGTGGTTGTGGTTTAAGCGTGAAAGTTTAGTTTTTCTTCGATATCAGCAACCGGATGGATGTCAAGAACCATGGTTTAGATCAAAAGTGTTTATTTGAAAATTATGAAAACAAATGCATCAAAAAATACGAGTAGCAGTTAAAAAAATTTAATTAAGAGAGCAGTAAATCTTTGTAAACAGAAAACAACCACAGAAAAAACATAACCTCATGAAATCCATATTTATGCTTGTGTCGATTGATCTGTTTTCCGTTAGTTTTCCGTGCAGAAACCTAGGCTAAAAACATGTGTTTCGTGATCGGCGTCCAAAATAACCCCTAGACACGCATTTTTAGAATCTTAGCAAAAAATTTTTGAAAAATATTGTCACCGGTGGAAGTCGAACCGGCGACCCTCAGATCAATAGCCTTTCCGCCGCTTTTCGCGTTTTTCTCGTTTTTTTTGTTTTATTATTTTTTTGATGTTGTTAGAAGGCTTTTTTCAGCAATGTCGTGTCAAGTTGAATCGGAGGAGCACCAGCGACACCTGTTTTTGTATGCATTCAACCGAAAACTCGATGCTGCAC